AAAAAATAATATATATATATATATATATATATATATATATAAATATAAATAATAATGCAATAATTTGAAAGTATTTCAACTGATTTTAAACTAGCTCACAGCAAAACTCTCAAAAACACTCAACCACTCCTAACCTCTCACAAGATAGAGTAATTGTGTGTTATAAATAATCATACTCTTAAACGTTATAACCACAAATGCGTAAGTATTACAATGTATTATAATTGTTGTTATGATTATTTATCAGACGATACAACATATTATAAAGGTTTTTTATAATGCATTATGGATACATTATAATGCCTTAAGAATACCCTTATAATGTGTTATATATATATATACAGGCTTCATAGAAAGTGTTACTCAAATGTCCACTTAATCTTTAATATTTGGCCATTTCTTTATGACAGAAATGCTACAGCCACTGTAATTTCTTGAATATGTGGACATCAAAACGTGTAACTCAGAGCGACGGTTTAAACTTTTTTTTTTAAATTGCCATGAACAGTTAGCATATTGAGAAAGATAATGATGTGTTCTCCTGTGTTTGAAAGGGGTCGTTAAAAAATTATTTACCTTACAAATCTGATGAAATGGCGCACGTTGCATTCCCAGATGAACGTTGTAATAAAGCCAAACTCACAGCAATTTGCAAAGAGACGCTTCACACATGTAAATGATAACCGTTCGTGTGGAGCAGCATTTACTGTGAACGGAGCCACTCTGACACACACATGCGTAACCTACACGCATGTAAATAATTAAAGCGCACATATTAAACCTGCATCGCATATGGTTATTTAATTGAATTGTAGCGTTTATGAATTCACAGTAGCATTGGGAAATGGAAATAATGTGTTTCATAGATTCTCGTCTGTGGAATGCGCCACTTCCAGTATTTTGCCAGTTACTCGACACGGACATATTGCAGTCGAGGATTTTTTTTTTTTAAATCGAGTCCCCGAATTGAATCGAGGAATCGTGACAGCCCTAGTTTATATGGTTTTTATAAATTTTTTCTTTTAGTTTGTTACTTTAGTACCTGAAGGTTTTTATTTTATTTCAGTTATTTATTTATTTTTTATTTTAAGTAAAGGCAATGTTTATGGTTGTAGTTGTACTTTTATTAACTGTAATAACCCTGCACCTTATTATTATTCAAAATGAGCTCTGCTACACTGACTCACTCATTAATTGATTTACTTTCTCTAATGTAAGGTAACGAAGCCCACTTCTCCTTGGAAACGGCATCGGATTATGTGAAAGACGAGAAAGCCTGTTTCTATGGATTCAAATGTGTAGCTGTCGGTTATGAGTTTAACCCTGGTCTTGATGAGGTATGAAATTCAATATGGATGTGTCTTAAACCTGAGCCCAATGCATGAAATGAAGTATCAATGTTTGAGGAGCCTGTTTTTACCTACTTTTTACCCTATGTGGCCCCGCACTGATAAATTACATAATTTGCAGGTCAACATTTATAGAAATATATCGAAAAGAAACATGAGCGCTGCTGTTGTTCATACAAGCATGTTTATTGAACTGTGGCTGGAAACAGTTTCAGCTTGGACATCGTAAATGAAGTTATTTTATATTTACCACTACCAGCATCTCAATTATGGATTGCTTTGGACCAGAGAAAGGATTAGTGATCCATACTGCATATGTATTTGAGGCATCTGTCATGTGGCTATAAATCTAAATGTAATATAAATGTGGCTATGGTTTCAGGGAATTATTCAGCTGGAGAAGGAATTGGCCTATTTGGGAAGCGTGTGTGCAGATGCACTCATGAAAAAGGATCTTGCCCTACCCATAGGTAAGAATGACTGCTGCTTTCCAATGCTGGAGAAGAAACCGTAATGATACAAACTGCTCATAATTTAAAGCTCAAACTGCTCATAATTATTATAATTTTTTAAAATACCTTTTAAAACATACAATACCATTCACAGCAAAGACACACTACATTTATAAAAAGTGACGGTAAAGACATTTGTTACAAAAGATTTCTGTTTGAAAAAAAAAATGTATTTCAGTTTCCACAAAACTATGAAGCAGCACAACTGTTTTCAACATTGATAATAATCAGAAATGTTTCTTGAGCAGCAAATCAGCATGATTTCTGAAGGATCTGAAGACTGGAGTAATGATGCTGAAAATTCAGTTTTGATCACAGGAATAAATTACATTTTAAAATATATTCAAACAGAAATAAGTTATTTTAAATTGTAGTAATATTTCTCAATGTTACTGTTTATTAAATTAATCAAATTTATGGTGACGCTTTACAATAAGGTTCATTAGTTAACATTAGTTAACTACTTTAGCTAACATGAACTAAAAATGAACAATACTTCTACAGCATTTATTAATCTTAGTTAATGTTAATTAATTTCAATATTTACTAATGCATTGTTAAAATCAAAAGTTGTGCTTGTTAACATTAGTTAATGAGCTGTGAATTAACATGAACTAGCAATGAATAACTGTATTTTCATTAAATAACATTAAAGAGCAGGTCATATGGCTTTTCGAAAAATTTATTTTTTGTAGTTTGTAACGTAGCTATCCTTCAGTGTAAACAGTCTGCAACGTTGTTAATCAAAAAAGTGCATGATAAATAAAGATATTGTCTTTCAAAAGAAAGAGTCTACTCTGAACCGCCTTAACGAGCCGTCATATTTTCGAATCTTCTGCCTGTTACCTATATACATCACAAAGTAACACATTTACATAATCCCCGCCTGCCTGCAAAATACAAACACATAAGTATCTGATCCATAACCTCCAGTAGTCGATGGCGGTAATGCTCTTTTTAAGATTGCTATCTGCCAATAAACACGAAGAAGAAGAAATACGAACACTCTGACCTGCCCACAAACACTTCCGCTAGTTAGTGTTTACATCATGTCAAGAAGACGCTGTGTTTTCAGCCTCACTGGGCATACTAACACAATTCCCACACGTGCACCTCTAAGTAAATAATAATAATGAATGCAATAAAGCTGCTGTCATATCACGTAAAGTACCACATGCAAAGTTTAAACTTACTACTGAGAAACGTCCTGATCAAGTCATGCTTGCGATGGAGTTTCTGGTTGAGCGACTGCGTCGGTATCATCCTTGGACTCGGGCTCGAATTGATAAAGTAATATCGATGCCATTTTTGTAACCTTATAGCTTATTTGTTTACAAGTAACCCTCCGGAGCAAAAAATCAATTATGGTAATGGATGTTTCGTTTCCGACACACATTGTATACAGAAAGACCGATCACAACAGACTTGGCCAGCTGACCAATCAGAGCAGAGTTGGCTTATGGAAGGGAGGGGTATACAGTTCTTAAGCTCAGAACTGCTTTGAACGAATCGTTTCGAAATCATTGAAAAATGATTCTAATATTAAATGTATATTCTGAGAAAATTTCAATGTTTTCTGATGCATTTAAACCCAGTGTAGGAAACTCCAACACAATATTAGGACACTTTTTAAAATACCATATGACCTGCTTTTTAACCAAGATTAATAAATGCCATAATAAATGTATTGCTCATTGTTTGTTCATGTTAGTTGATACGTTAAAGGTCCCATGACATGCTGCTTTTTGGATGCTTTTATATAGGCCTAAGTGGTCCCTAGTACTGTATCTGAAGTCTCTTTCCCGAATTTCAGCCTTGGTGCAGAATTTCAGCCACTACGAGCCAGTCCCACAATGAGCTTTCCTTAGGATGTGCCATTTCTGTGTCTGTAGCTTTAAATGCTAATGAGGAGGAGAGAGGCGGAGCATCTGCCATGCTTCACTTGTTTGCAAGCCATGATGTCTCTCGAGGAAAAAAAATATTGCGCTCGCCTTGCACGGTAGTAGCTCATTTTCTCATGGGCGGGCCAAATTCTTTGGACGGGCAAAGCAGAGAAAGGGGAGGTAACCTTTCCCCGTATGACGACATAAAGGGAAGATTCCAGATTGGGCCATCTGAGCTTTCATTATCTCAAAGGCGAAGCAGGATACCCAGGGCTCGGTTTACACCTGTCGCCATTTCTAGCCACTGGGGGACCGTAGGCAGGCTAGGGGAACTCATATTAATGTTAAAAAACCTCATAAAGTGAAATGTTCATGCCATGGGACCTTTAACTAACATTAAGTAATGGAACCTTATTGTAAAGTGTTACCAAATTTATTAAATGTATAAAAATAATTGTTGATTCATTTGAATGGTAACAACTCTACAGTTTCTTATTATTCTGAATTAATTGAAACAATGTTGATGTGAAAGATAACACATTTAATAAGCTTAGGAAAGAAAAATTATAAACATAGTGGGAAAATACATCTGTTTTGTTATGCAGCAACTCATTTCTACCTCTTTCCAGTCACAGAGCACTTTGTTTTTAGAGTTGTTTAAGTGAGAGAACATCTGTAACTTAGTCCCGATTAAGGGAATTGTTTTGTAATTGTTTTTTGCACTGAAAAAAAAAGTAGGTTTTTGTTTGTATATGCTGTCAATTATAGTTCTAAGAAAGAAAATTGGAATCGGCCAAGAAAATTGCAAACGGTGCATCTCTATTTATAACTGACCCTAATTTATATTCTTCTGTTTACTAAATTCTGTTTTCTATTCCAAATTTTAATTGAGCTAAATATCTCCCTTAAAGAATTTTCAAATTAATCAATTCATATATGTGAACCTTCCAAACAAACTGATCGAAACAGACTCGAATGAAACTAAGTTTTTAAAAGAGAGTGGGTTTGAATATTTCCACAGCTTACTGTAAAGCATAACACAATTTGACATTTAAACAACAGTTTTGTCACGGTACACTGCAACTTCTTAGGTCTTAAAAAGTAGCTTGTAAAAACTGGAAAAGCTACATTGTTTGAAACAACTGAGCTACTGTCACGCTATTGACAAAGGAAGTTCATTTATTATTTCTTTCACTGGTGGCACTGATAAAATGATAAGCACGAACTTTGTCGTCTTCATCTGATTATATGAATTATGTACCATCTTACAGGAAATGAACTGGAGGAGGATTTGGAGATTTTAGAGGAGGCCTCACTCCAGGTACTGAATTAGAAATGGTTTTGGTGTTTGCGAGTGCAGTATCATCATCATAGTGAAGCTCTAATGGTGTGTTTGTGTCAAGCAGGTGTGTAAAGCCCACTCAGGGCTCCTGGGGAAGGGACTGGCCCTCTCTCACTCTCCCTCAATCCTAGAGGCACTGGAGGGGAACCTGCCACTGCACCTGCAAACTAACGAACACTCCTTCCTAGAGGACTTCATCACCTGTGTGCAGAACTCCAGCGGCGGGCGGCTCGCCAGGTCAGCCTCGAACATTTTTCAGCTCCCTTTATTCTAATATGTACCGTCTATACATCCTTTAATACCTGGCCCTCATTCTAGCATCTTTACCATTCTGCCATCCCAGGTGGCTTCAGCCAGACTCCTACGCAGACCCTCAGAAGACCTCGCTCATCCTGAACAAAGATGACATCCGCTGTGGCTGGCCCACTACTGTTGTGGTGCAGACCAAAGACCAATATGGAGATGTTGTGCATGTGCCAAACATGAAGGTTAGCATCTTTCTTGAATCAAACGGTGAGTTATGAAACCAGCACATCTAAGCGTCTCTGCTCTGTGTTTGTAGGTTGAAGTCAAGGCTGTTCCTGTCTCTCAGAAGAAGTCCATCCAGCAGGAGAACGTGAAGAAGCTACAGCGTTTGCCAGGCAGCTCCTCTAATTCCACATCTGGCACTGATCTGGGGAAGGGACTGGCCCTCTCTCACTCTCCCTCAATCCTAGAGGCACTGGAGGGGAACCTGCCACTGCACCTGCAAACTAACGAACACTCCTTCCTAGAGGACTTCATCACCTGTGTGCAGAACTCCAGCGGCGGGCGGCTCGCCAGGTCAGCCTCGAACATTTTTCAGCTCCCTTTATTCTAATATGTACCGTCTATACATCCTTTAATACCTGGCCCTCATTCTAGCATCTTTACCATTCTGCCATCCCAGGTGGCTTCAGCCAGACTCCTACGCAGACCCTCAGAAGACCTCGCTCATCCTGAACAAAGATGACATCCGCTGTGGCTGGCCCACTACTGTTGTGGTGCAGACCAAAGACCAATATGGAGATGTTGTGCATGTGCCAAACATGAAGGTTAGCATCTTTCTTGAATCAAACGGTGAGTTATGAAACCAGCACATCTAAGCGTCTTCTGCTCTGTGTTTGTAGGTTGAAGTCAAGGCTGTTCCTGTCTCTCAGAAGAAGTCCATCCAGCAGGAGAACGTGAAGAAGCTACAGCGTTTGCCAGGCAGCTCCTCTAATTCCACATCTGGCACTGATCTCACCTATGGTGGCCACCCACCGCCCAAACTGGAGGCGACATATGAGCCCATGATCATCAAAGAGGCCCGTTATATCGCCATCACCATGATGAAGGTTCCTCTCATCTCTTGACTTGATAATTACGGTAGCTACAAAAATTAGTTGGACTGGGGCTGCCCAATTGATTAATATAAAGCTGGAAACGTGATATGGCTAAGTGCAATTATCAAATTGCAAAGGCTGCAGTTTAATTTTACTATAATTCTTCTCATTTTTAACCATCTTCCCTAACTTGTAATGAGAAGCAGCAACAAAAGAGAAGTTTTAATGGCTCTCTGCAGTTTTATGGCCAAAAAAAGTTCAATAATTTAACGTTTGACAATGAAGAAACTAAGCCAGCCATAAATATTGGTCTTGTAATTTTACAGTTAGGATGAAAAATTAAATAAAATAATAATTATTGTTTTTTTTTAAAACATCTATTTTTCTCTGTTAAAATATAGGTCTTTTTTTTATTTTCCAGTGAGATATTACAATAATATATTTATTTGAACACTTAAGTCACACTTAAATTTGTTTATAAATTAAAATTAGCAACGGATCTTTTCTTCTGTATCATGATGGTACAACCAAGTGAAAAATGCATTGATGAATCATTAACTATAAGATCAGTAGCGAAAATACATCTGTTTTGTTATGCAGCAACTCATTTCTACCTCTTTCCAGTCACAGAGCACTTTGTTTTTAGAGTTGTTTAAGTGAGAGAACATCTGTAACTTAGTCCCGATTAAGGGAATTGTTTTGTAATTGTTTTTTGCACTGAAAAAAAAAGTAGGTTTTTGTTTGTATATGCTGTCAATTATAGTTCTAAGAAAGAAAATTGGAATCGGCCAAGAAAATTGCAAACGGTGCATCTCTATTTATAACTGACCCTAATTTATATTCTTCTGTTTACTAAATTCTGTTTTCTATTCCAAATTTTAATTGAGCTAAATATCTCCCTTAAAGAATTTTCAAATTAATCAATTCATATATGTGAACCTTCCAAACAAACTGATCGAAACAGACTCGAATGAAACTAAGTTTTTAAAAGAGAGTGGGTTTGAATATTTCCACAGCTTACTGTAAAGCATAACACAATTTGACATTTAAACAACAGTTTTGTCACGGTACACTGCAACTTCTTAGGTCTTAAAAAGTAGCTTGTAAAAACTGGAAAAGCTACATTGTTTGAAACAACTGAGCTACTGTCACGCTATTGACAAAGGAAGTTCATTTATTATTTCCTTCACTGGTGGCACTGATAAAATGATAAGCACGAACTTTGTCGTCTTCATCTGATTATATGAATTATGTACCATCTTACAGGAAATGAACTGGAGGAGGATTTGGAGATTTTAGAGGAGGCCTCACTCCAGGTACTGAATTAGAAATGGTTTTGGTGTTTGCGAGTGCAGTATCATCATCATAGTGAAGCTCTAATGGTGTGTTTGTGTCAAGCAGGTGTGTAAAGCCCACTCAGGGCTCCTGGGGAAGGGACTGGCCCTCTCTCACTCTCCCTCAATCCTAGAGGCACTGGAGGGGAACCTGCCACTGCACCTGCAAACTAACGAACACTCCTTCCTAGAGGACTTCATCACCTGTGTGCAGAACTCCAGCGGCGGGCGGCTCGCCAGGTCAGCCTCGAACATTTTTCAGCTCCCTTTATTCTAATATGTACCGTCTATACATCCTTTAATACCTGGCCCTCATTCTAGCATCTTTACCATTCTGCCATCCCAGGTGGCTTCAGCCAGACTCCTACGCAGACCCTCAGAAGACCTCGCTCATCCTGAACAAAGATGACATCCGCTGTGGCTGGCCCACTACTGTTGTGGTGCAGACCAAAGACCAATATGGAGATGTTGTGCATGTGCCAAACATGAAGGTTAGCATCTTTCTTGAATCAAACGGTGAGTTATGAAACCAGCACATCTAAGCGTCTCTGCTCTGTGTTTGTAGGTTGAAGTCAAGGCTGTTCCTGTCTCTCAGAAGAAGTCCATCCAGCAGGAGAACGTGAAGGAGCTACAGCGTTTGCCAGGCAGCTCCTCTAATTCCACATCTGGCACTGATCTCACCTATGGTGGCCACCCACCGCCCAAACTGGAGGCGACATATGAGCCCATGATCATCAAAGAGGCCCGTTATATCGCCATCACCATGATGAAGGTTCCTCTCATCTCTTGACTTGATAATTACGGTAGCTACAAAAATTAGTTGGACTGGGGCTGCCCAATTGATTAATATAAAGCTGGAAACGTGATATGGCTAAGTGCAATTATCAAATTGCAAAGGCTGCAGTTTAATTTTACTATAATTCTTCTCATTTTTAACCATCTTCCCTAACTTGTAATGAGAAGCAGCAACAAAAGAGAAGTTTTAATGGCTCTCTGCAGTTTTATGGCCAAAAAAAGTTCAATAATTTAACGTTTGACAATGAAGAAACTAAGCCAGCCATAAATATTGGTATTGTAATTTTACAGTTAGGATGAAAAATTAAATAAAATAATAATTATTGTTTTTTTTAAAAACATCTATTTTTCTCTGTTAAAATATAGGTCTTTTTTTTATTTTCCAGTGAGATATTACAATAATATATTTATTTGAACACTTAAGTCACACTTAAATTTGTTTATAAATTAAAATTAGCAACGGATCTTTTCTTCTGTATCATGATGGTACAACCAAGTGAAAAATGCATTGATGAATCATTAACTATAAGATCAGTAGCATGCATTTACAAAATATATAGGGGGAATTCTCATTGCATGTCGACTTTAAAAATGCATGCATGTCATTGCATTAGATAAATCACTTGCTTTTTTATTTATCCAGGCATATGAAAATTACTCCTTTGAAGAGCTTCGCTTCGCCTCACCGACACCAAAGAGGTTCAAAGATTACTGTTCTACCTGTCACATATAAATTACAAACAAATTCAAATATAAGAACAGGCTTCATGTTCAGTTTGTTTGCTTTTTACTCAGACCCAGTGAGAACATGCTTATCCGGGCAAACACAGACGGCACCTACAGCGCTAACTGGACCCCTGGTGCTGTTGGGCTTTACACCATTCATGTGACCATCGATGGCATTGAGATTGGTAACTGCTTTTCACTATTTATTCATCATCTTAATCGAAATTAGCAATTATTTTTATTATTTTTTTTTTTTTAGAAAATGTAAAACATTGTGTTTACATGATAAAATGATTTATAGCCGTTGTGTATAAAGTTTTTGCTGTTTTAAAACAGTGTAGTAACTCTTGATATTGGGTTTGGGTTTGCTGATGTGAATAATGTATGTTCAGATGCTGGTCTGGAGGTCGAGGTCAAAGACCCTCCCAAAGGAATGATCCCTCCAGGCACACAGATGGTCAAACCTAAAGCTGAACCTCAACCTAGCAAGGTGAGCTCCCAAATTCCTAAGCGGCTGCTCAGTCTGATATATCGGGTCTGACCACTTCAGCCATTCATTTTACACGACCTTTCAAAAGTTTGGGGTCACTAAGACTTTTTGAAATAAGTCTCTTCTGCTCACCAAGGCTGCATGATTTAATGTGAATTTAGAACCGCTAACTAGCATTATAACCCGTGGCAACAGTGTAAAGGTAGCCCGGAGTCAGACCCACCTCTCCCGCATTGGCGTCTGCACTTCACACGTGTATGCTCGTGAGCGCGAATTAAGAATCACAAACGGCTGCATTCGAGTCTTCAAGACATTTTAGGGCACAGCATCGTCAAGTAAGTAACTTTAACGAATGTTACAGTGTTCACTGTAGTTGTCCGCTAGTAAAAACATAGTTTTATCAGTCATTATCCGTGTATGCCATTGTTTTGCATTTACTACAGAGTTCAGTGGATCAGGAGGCGCTGGCTGGTGTGACTGAGTGGAGGCGGGACTAATTTGCATATTCATAGATCCGCGTCCATCCAGCAGGAGAACGTGAAGAAGCTACAGCGTTTGCCAGGCAGCTCCTCTAATTCCACATCAGGCACTGACCTCACCTACGGTGGCCACCCACCGCCCAAACTGGAGGCGACATATGAGCCCATGATCATCAAAGAGGCCCGTTATATCGCCATCACCATGATGAAGGTTCCTCTCATCTCTTGACTTGATAATTACGGTAGCTACAAAAATGAGTTGGACTGGGGCTGCCCAATTGATTAATATAAAGCTGGAAACGTGATATGGCTAAGTGCAATTATCAAATTGCAAAGGCTGCAGTTTAATTTTACTATAATTCTTCTCATTTTTAACCATCTTCCCTAACTTGTAATGAGAAGCAGCAACAAAAGAGAAGTTTTAATGGCTCTCTGCAGTTTTATGGCCAAAAAAAGTTCAATAATTTAACGTTTGACAATGAAGAAACTAAGCCAGCCATAAATATTGGTCTTGTAATTTTACAGTTAGGATGAAAAATTAAATAAAATAATAATTATTGTTTTTTTTTAAAACATCTATTTTTCTCTGTTAAAATATAGGTCTTTTTTTTATTTTCCAGTGAGATATTACAATAATATATTTATTTGAACACTTAAGTCACACTTAAATTTGTTTATAAATTAAAATTAGCAACGGATCTTTTCTTCTGTATCATGATGGTACAACCAAGTGAAAAATGCATTGATGAATCATTAACTATAAGATCAGTAGCATGCATTTACAAAATATATAGGGGGAATTCTCATTGCATGTCGACTTTAAAAATGCATGCATGTCATTGCATTAGATAAATCACTTGCTTTTTTATTTATCCAGGCATATGAAAATTACTCCTTTGAAGAGCTTCGCTTCGCCTCACCGACACCAAAGAGGTTCAAAGATTACTGTTCTACCTGTCACATATAAATTACAAACAAATTCAAATATAAGAACAGGCTTCATGTTCAGTTTGTTTGCTTTTTACTCAGACCCAGTGAGAACATGCTTATCCGGGCAAACACAGACGGCACCTACAGCGCTAACTGGACCCCTGGTGCTGTTGGGCTTTACACCATTCATGTGACCATCGATGGCATTGAGATTGGTAACTGCTTTTCACTATTTATTCATCATCTTAATCGAAATTAGCAATTATTTTTATTATTTTTTTTTTTTTAGAAAATGTAAAACATTGTGTTTACATGATAAAATGATTTATAGCCGTTGTGTATAAAGTTTTTGCTGTTTTAAAACAGTGTAGTAACTCTTGATATTGGGTTTGGGTTTGCTGATGTGAATAATGTATGTTCAGATGCTGGTCTGGAGGTCGAGGTCAAAGACCCTCCCAAAGGAATGATCCCTCCAGGCACACAGATGGTCAAACCTAAAGCTGAACCTCAACCTAGCAAGGTGAGCTCCCAAATTCCTAAGCGGCTGCTCAGTCTGATATATCGGGTCTGACCACTTCAGCCATTCATTTTACACGACCTTTCAAAAGTTTGGGGTCACTAAGACTTTTTGAAATAAGTCTCTTCTGCTCACCAAGGCTGCATGATTTAATGTGAATTTAGAACCGCTAACTAGCATTATAACCCGTGGCAACAGTGTAAAGGTAGCCCGGAGTCAGACCCACCTCTCCCGCATTGGCGTCTGCACTTCACACGTGTATGCTCGTGAGCGCGAATTAAGAATCACAAACGGCTGCATTCGAGTCTTCAAGACATTTTAGGGCACAGCATCGTCAAGTAAGTAACTTTAACGAATGTTACAGTGTTCACTGTAGTTGTCCGCTAGTAAAAACATAGTTTTATCAGTCATTATCCGTGTATGCCATTGTTTTGCATTTACTACAGAGTTCAGTGGATCAGGAGGCGCTGGCTGGTGTGACTGAGTGGAGGCGGGACTAATTTGCATATTCATAGATCCGCGTATAGTAAATGAGGCAAGGGTGTAGAGTTGCATTCAAGCTATTTTAAGGCATGATAATTATTTTCACAAAAAAAAAATTTGTAAATGTCATTTTGATGATCAAAGATAAGTTTTAAGGGATAAAATATTTGACTACAGGGGGACTTTAATATATTTTAAAATGTTGCTTACTCCAGGCTTCAGTGTCACATGATCCTTCAGAAATCATTCTGATATGCTGATTTGCTGCTCCAAAAACATTTCTTCTTATTAATGTTGAAAACATTTGTGCTGCTTAATATTTTTATGAAAACCATGACACTTTTTTTTCAGGATTTTTTTGAAATAGAAATCTTATATTTACATTTATAATATTTTTCAATGCGTCTTTGCTGTATAAAGTATTAATTTCATTTAAAAAAAATCATCCTGACCCCAAACTTTTCAAATGTAGTGTAAATGTTCGCAACTGGACTGTTATTCTCTGGAAATGATGATCAGAAATGTTTTCCGTTAAAGAAGATGGTATATGATTACAGCATTTATTTTATGAATTTTATGACGATGAATCCTTTCTGGAAATTGACACCCTGTGGCTTGACATGCTAACATCCATCTGAAACTTTTTTATTTATTATTTATTATTTAATGTTTATTTTACGCTGAGCTTACACCTAGCACCTAGGTTTACTTGAGGGACCACATGGAATTTATGTATATTTTTTTTGGTACGTTCGTTTCTGTTTATTGGTGAACTATGAACTATTGGTGTTCAGATAGCTGTTTGGTGCCAATGCTATTTATACTTACCAGTGCAAATAGTGTTACTTTTTATTCCTTTACTGTGTATTGAACTGGGAAACAAGCAACACAACTGCACAAAATCAGATGTCTTTCCTGCTCTTTGCTGCTGAATGCCTCTCAGATGGACTGACGTTTCCCTCGTCTGACAGGAAGTGCGGGTTCTGTTCTCTCTGTGCTGTGAGTCCTCGCTCTCTGACTGCAGCTTCCTGCCATCTTCTCATCTGTCTCTCTGTCTCTGCTTCTCTCAGGTGCGCAAATTTGTGGCCAAGGACAGCGCAGGGCTGCGTGTGCGTAGTCACCCCTCTCTGCAGAGCGAACAGATAGGCATAGTCCAAGTCAATGGCACCATCACATTCATTGACGAGGTAAACCGCACTAGAATAGGGCCAAACTGTTCTGAATTCAAGTCCTTTTTTTTGTTTTCTCTTTCTTTAATTTTTAGTTTTCTCTTTCTTTAATCTGTGAACAATGCTCTGTTTTAAAACAAAAGGCTTTTAAAACGATTTCTGCATCTCTCTATGCTTTCAAATTGACTTTTGATTTGGTCAGAAGCATTTATTTGCCTATCCTTTGCTTCATTCACATGCAGGAGACTTTGAGGCTGTAGTTAAATCTCAAATAGATACCATCTCTCCCAGCCAATTTCTAAAAAGCCCATTTCTGCATGCCAAACACTCGTAGCTTCTATTAGACCCAATCTCACATCTGCAGTGCTGTCGGTTGCTCTGAAGACCCTTTCACATGACAGCTAGAGCCTTACCACAAAATTCGACTCAACCGTATGCCGTTGACCTTTCAAAGCACACCTAATTGGACAAACTGCATGACGTTTGCATGACAGGTCAAACTATATAATACAAAAACACCTAGCAGTCAAAATTTTGGACACACTTAATGGAATTTATTTTTCATTTTATAGAATACTTTGTATATGTATCTTATTAATTACATTATGTATTATCTATTAATATCTGTTACTTATTGTTTATATATTTATACACACTACTGTTCAGAAGTTTGGTCAATGAGGTTTATAGAAGTCTCTTGTTCTGCATTCATTTGATTAAAAATACTGTAAAAACAGTAATATTGTAAAATATTTTTACAATTTAAAATAACTGTTTTAATCTACGTTTTAATATATTTTGCAAATGTAATTTATTCCTGTGATCAAAGCTGAATTTCCAGCATCATTACTCCAGTCTTCAGTGTCACATGATCCTTCAGAAATCATTCTAATATGCTGATTTGCTGCTCAAGAAACATTTATTATTATATTATTATTATTATTATCAATGTTGAAAACAGTTCAAATGCTGCTTAATATTTTTTTTTGTGGAAACTGATACATTTTTTTCAGGATTCTTTGATGAATAGAAAAGTTAAACAGCATTTATTTGAAATAGAAATCATAAATGTCTTTGATCAATTTAATACATTCTTGTTGAATAAAAGTATTATCTTACTGTAATTTCTTAATTATTAAATCTTACTGACTCCAGACTTTTGAACGGTATTGTAATGTCTAATAATTATTTATATATTATTTTAGCAGTTTTTGGATCTGTGTTTAATGCTTAAAATTAGTTTTGCAGATGAATTGCTTTGCAACACTAAAACTACTTTTTTGGAACGTATAGTAAGGAAAAACGCAAGTGAATATAAAAGTTTATTTTTCTATTCATGTCCAAACTTTTGAATGGTAGTGTAAACTTCCTGCTGTCTTGTTAACTGGCGAACTTGTAGAAGTTACCCTTTGATGACACTGCAGCGTTTTTCACATGCTCAGAGTGGCACATGCAGGGCTGGGTATCAAGTTCTATACTTTTTAGGCACCGACCGAATTGACTTGATACCATCGCATTTCGAAAAATGTATTGTCGTTCGGTACCAAATTTCGATACCTAAGGGGTTAATCTCATCAAAGTCAGTGAGCCAATAAGACTGCAGCATGCGTGATGTACCTAAATCAGTGATTGGCTCTGGTGAGGCACCCAGGAAAACGTGTTTTACGTGACCGTGCTTCATGCTACATGAGACGATTTATGCTCTGCTTTTACTCAAAACTCACTTTAATTGCGTGTTTATTAGCTTCATGTTTCATCCCTGTAAATGTTTTTCTGAAAGTGTAACACACGTTCATCATCAGAGACAGGGTAACGCATAATATGAGTGACAATGAGCAGCTTCCTTTTGAGTCAGAACAGCGATCGCGGAAGAGAAAACACAGGCAGACAGCGCTGGAAGCAGTTAATGCTCATCAGATCGCATAAATCAGTGGAAAGTGAATAGATGATTCCGTCTAAGGTATGCGTTTTAAAATGAAGTTTTTTGAGGTAATGTAAACTTGTTAGATTGGATTTCATAAAATAGCTATCGAAAGAAGTTCAGGAACCAGTGTCGAAGTCAAGGTATCAGTATCGAAAATCTTTGAATGATACCCAGCTCTAGGCGCATGACGCTTGTGCTGAGCATGTTGAAGCCTCAGCATGAGTCACATGAAAGGGCCTGTTGTTCCCTGCTGGCAACCGCCAATAGCATTTGCATACATATACATATACATATTGTGCACATGAAGCATCTCATTTTCAGACATCCACTATAAATTCAATTGGTTGGCGCTGTGCATAAACATGATTGGCTCTGCAGCCTCAGAGGCTCGTGCGAAGGCCGTGTTAGCAGTTACAGGAGGGCATGGCTCCGCTCTGTTGCTTGTTTCCCATAGATCCACAATGATGATGGTGTCTGGCTCAGACTGAATGATGAGACAGTTAAGAAGTATGTTCCCAACATGAATGGGTACACTGAAGCCTGGTGCCTCTCTTTTAACCAGCATCTGGGTAGAAGCCTCCTGGTCCCTGTCGACGTAAGTAAAAGGCCTCCCCCTTCATAGATTAGCCGGAGCCCCTACTCTCCTCATTTGGGAACGGGATTTGTAACTGCCAGCTTAACTTCAGTCATGTTTAGGGTGATCATTCGATATACTTGTTTTGGCTCTTTTTACAGTGAATCATGGGCATCTAATGACCCACTCCCAAATGTCTACAAGCATGCTTTGTCAGTTACTTAGAAAGACCAAACACATGTGTCTTTGCATGTGTTAGTGCTACTGTGTAGTTTAGTTTGGGCACGATCACTCGAAGACCAGGATGGAAAATGTTAAGGGTGGGTTCATGTTGCCAGTCCCTTGTCTTATTAACTCCTGGTTGAAAGACACTAACTCATGCACACTGTTTTGTAGGGCTGCACGATTATGACAGTTTATATTTTGCTGATTATATTTTATTTTAGTCACATTTATTTATTACGATGGATGGATAGATAGTGTTCACATGAAAATATTACGTTCCTTGTCAAGAAAATAATCCGCCATGTTGTCAGTCACGTGACCTACCAGCGTCAGTTCACAAATCCTCTCCATGGCTTCATGGTATAGTAAAGTGTTCATCGAATGCGCACTTCAGAATCTCAGCAGAAGTAGAAGGTCATCCAGGTACTTTCCGCCTTTTCATTTTTCTCATACTACATTGTATAGTCATATTTGGACACAGTGAATGTGTTCAAAAATCAACTCAATATATCAAACGTGTTTGATCTCCTCCGACTGGATGAAATCTGAGGCCCTGTTTACACCTAGTATTAAGATGTGTTTTTGTCGATCCAATCTCAAGTGGACAACGCTAAATACAGGTGTAATCAGGGTCTAAAACGTTGCCCACTTTTGACCACTACCAGAGCAGTGTTGGGGAAAGTTACTTTTAAAAGTAATGCATTGCAATGTTGCGTTACTCCATTAAAAAAGTAACTAATTGTGTTACTTAGTTACTTTTTATAGAAAGTAACACATTGTTGCTTTTGTGTTTGAGTTACTATGTTACTTTTGCGTTACAGCTGTAAAAGCCCTTTCACACCAAAAGTGAAATTAATAAACCTCAGCCTGAAGGAAGTGCCTCTGGACCTCACTCCCAATTTCTCTCAACATGGGGACAGGGGAGGTGTCAGTGAATAAATGGGAAAATAAAGTAACTTGCGTTACTTATTTGAAAAACAAACTCAGATATTTTCTTGAAAATTTAAAATTAAGGCGTTACTTTTCTAGTTACTTGAAAAAAGTAATCTGATTACATAACACGTGTTACTTGTAATGCTACTCATGTTGTTGAATGCATTTGCCACAAAAGACCACCTCCTCTCTACCTCTTGACCTATTTCTTAAACTTGACGTGATGCTAGCCAGACAGAGTTTAAACTTCGCTGACTGAAATATGTTTGGTTTTAAAGAGAAAAAATTAAAAAAGACCAATGTTCTATTACCAGTCCTGATTCGAACACAAACCCAGAGAGTTCCAACAGAAACAAAGGCTGCTGCTCTCCCTTTCGTTTTTCATTTCATGTTCATATGTAAATTGTGCAAGCTTATTTCACAACAGTAGATCGAAAGATCAGTAGAAGTCCGTTCATACACCCAACCATTGACCCCTCCCTTTAAAGAAATCAGGAAAGTGGTGTAAAGTGGACAAAAGTGAACGATTAAAGCACCATGTGTAAACAGGACCAGAGTCTGAAGCTAGAAAAATCTGTTTGTGCCATCATACATTACAAGTTTTTCTGTGTAATCGGCCAATTACAGCATCCCAAAATATGCTGACCTTTCTCTAACTTGCAGTAAATCTTTCAGAATGTAAATCGAGGCAAAAATCTGTGCAAACGTTGTGAAGTGTATTCCAGTGTTCTAGGTTTGGCGTGTTTGTTAGGTTTTACACCATCTACATTGCAACATGCCACGATTATTTCCGATTTGCTTCTACAGCTTTTTTGAGTATCAGATCATGTTTCTTCAGCTTTCTTTTTCGTAACAGAAATAAAACACAAAGCAGGCCTATAGACTCTCCAAAGTGCGAACAAGGTGACCGCTTCAGGCGACACCTAAAGGAAATTCTTTAATCGACGCTTCATGATTAGTTGAATAAATCTGTGTGATTAATTGTGCAGCCCTACTGTGTTGTTACTCATCATATGTGGTGTGAAAAATAGTTATTGTGTGATAATGAATATCAGTGTACAATGCTTTGCTGTTTCCTGGTCATGACAGTATAGACGGATGAGCTGCATCAGTGCGGCCCAATGAAAACTTTAATTTCTTCACATAACCGATCTGAAATGATAGACATTCCTGAACGGACAAAGATTAATTTGCTTAAAAATGATCATAATTAAACCTTTTCAACAATTGGTTTAAAAGTGGTTGATCTGTTTCAATTTCTCACCCTAAATTAGCTGTCGTGGTCCCGCAACTTTTAATGAGGTTCTGCCATGAAACAAGCCTTGTCCTAACCCAAGGCCTGAAAGTGGGCTATGATTCTGAGAGCATAATTACTTCTGGATGTGAAAATGTCATCAAGGCTCCCAGTATGAACAGCATGACACACCACCAATCTTTTTTGGAAGATTATGCATCTTCATATTTCTTATGTGATTTATTTTTCATTTGCCGTATTTTGATGGGATTTAAATTGTGTTGCAATTGGAGCATTTGCGGTCACAATCTTCAGCAGAACTCTTGTTTTGTTTGCTAGACCTTTTTCTCAGCCTTCAAATTCTTCTCTGACTGACTCATGAAGAACATTCGAAAGAAATAATATACACATAAAGAAACTCTCACTATAACAAATCCATCTCTTCCAAAAAAAGACAAACCATACCATCTGCGTTTCTAACTGAAGGTAATTCCCCACGTGTTTTGACTTGCTTGTAATCTGTTGCTTAGAATATCTTTAGTGCTAGCCAAGGAGTCAGGGATATCGACTTTTTGTCTTGGACGACCTTATCTTGTTTTCCCCAGGTGAGTTGTCAGAAGATGAGGTGTGTGTGTAGCTTGGCTGCTGCTTTGCTTTTCACCAGTGTTTCTCATTATTTTGAGCCATTTCCGATTGTGATTTTTGGAGAATCATCAGAGTTGCATGTTTAATTGTGTAAATTGTGAATCAAAATATATTTCATAATCTTTTCCGTGTATGCACAAAGTTTTCAGGAACACGTTTTGAATGTGTTATAAGAACCTAATAATCGTTACATTACATTTATGTTAATCTTGGGTAAAGCTTTTTGCGTTTTCATGTCTTAGTTCACAATTAAAACAATCGAAAGTCAGTTGCATGAGGATTTAAAGGAATAGTTTACCCACAATATAATAAATAAATGTTTTGTCATTATTTATTCACCTTCATCTCATTCCAATTTTTGTATGCGGGTTTCTTCCATGGAACACAGAAGGTGAATTAATTTGAGGTATTTTTACACACTTTTAATATTGACCACATCTGTTAAGCTCATAAAAGAATTTATACAAATAAGTTTGATGATGGTAATGACGTCCAACCATATATGCAAAAGATTCTTCAAAATTCTCCTTTTGTGTTCCATTGTAAAAATAACAATGTAATGCATAATAATAATGACAGAATATTTATTTTTGTGAACTATTCCTTTAACAAAAATCTGAATATGTAAATGCATGTTTTTTTCCCCCTCACACAAAGGCAAAATTATTGATTTGTCAGTTTATGAACAGCATGTCTGTATAGTAGTAGTCAGTAGAACTCGGCATCAGAGCACACTTCTATGTGTGTTATAATGATCTTCATCCCACAACCTACAATTAGGATAAGATGATATTTGTGAAGATTGTCTTGTTTGTATGTAGAAGCACAATTGACAAGTCTATGTATTGTTTATGTAAGCGGGCAATTCGTGCTGGTAGCAAATTATGTTAAAGGGTCAATGACATTTTTCGTTTTACTTTTCAGATCTGTTCTCTGAATTTAATTGTTGATGTATTTTTGAATACATCACATTCAAAAATGCATAATTATCCTGTTTCTATGAAAATTATCTTAAAAAGAGTTATATAAAGGGTGGAAAAAAATTTAAAGTGTTAACTGTTACGGACTGTTAAACTATATTTTAAAACGATTTTTCTTTTTCGTCATATCGGACATCCTTATTTGTCATTGACCCTAAAATTAAGACTTAAGCCCTGTTCACACCAAGAACAATAACTATAAAGATAACGATATTAGCGTCCACACCAGCGAACGATATTGCCGGTTTATTCCAAGCGCACGCTCGTCTGCCGCTTTGAATTCTCGTGCTCGTTACAGCTGGATGGATTCTGATTGGCTGTCAATATTTTTTATCGTTCATCAGCTGGAAAAAAATAGTTTTGAAAGTGATTCCAACGATATCGTTTCTTTGTCTTTATCGTTATAGTTGTGGTGTGGATTCTTTAATATTGAGAACGATTTTTAGAACTTTATAGTTATCGTCCTTGGTGTGAACGGGCCTTTATTGTCTTTTAATCCCCAAAAATTTGATTGAATATTTTAAGAGCATAATTTTATAATGTACCACTTGCTTTCAAACTTAAATTAACCAGTGTCCTTTGGTTTTGCAGGAGGGCAGGTCAAATTTGGATGATTATGGAAAGGAGACCAGTGGCCGCCCTTCCCATGACGCCAATGTTCGTGACCTGGGCGCAGGCCAGGGTGGCGGACCGGGTCTTTATAAGGTAGTGAAGACCGGACCTTCGGGTCACAACATCAGAAGCTGCCCAAACCTTAGAGGTATCCCCATTGGAATGTTAGTTCTGGGAAACAAAGTCAAGGCGGTAGGCGAGGTATGGACTCCCAACTGTGTTACTGTGGCTGCCAATAAATGACTAATTAGCCAGATTTCTTGCTAATTCTGCAGTTTCTGTAACACAAATTCTTCATTTTTCTTTAGACGTTAAGAGAACCCTTTGTGTAACGTCTTTTGATAGAGGCCATACGTGCTATGGCTCTGGCGTGGCTGTGTTGTTATTGTTCTGTACACATTATTAAAGACCCTCTCAAGAACCACCAAGCATGGCTTCAGCTTTTGCACAGTAACAGTGCAGTATAATCTGGCATGCTCTGTAGGAAAATCTGTGTGATGTGACAATGAATAAATATTCCTAATTACCTATTAGCAGTGATGACAGATGAAACTTCTGAATTGCAAAAAAAAAACTGAAGTCATATCAGTTTCCACTCTGCAAACACCAGGGTTGAGCAAAATTAAGAATTAGCTCATTTTCAATTCATGTATGTGAATTTGAATTGAATTAGTTCTGTCCCACAGGATGTGGAACTGGAATTTGAATCGGTATGATAGGAAAAGATATATGTGGAATTGCAGTTATGAGAAATTCAACAGTGACACAACAGTAACATAACATAACATAAATAATTACATAATTTGATTAATTATGCCTATTTATTATATATGTCATGTTATTATGTTACATTGTTATTTTATATTATATTCAAATTTCTGTAGATACCCTGGTATATTATATTATTATAGCATTTCAAACATTATTAATATTGTGCACTATTTCTGTTATGTGTTTGATATTTATATGTAATTCATACTGACAAATTATTAAAACTGCTTAAATGTATATGTATTTTCTTTGAATTTTATTTCATGATAATTCTACTTAAATTCAAATTACAATTCTGCATCCTGTTTTAGGATTCAATTCAAATTCAGGAATTAAATGGAAATTCTGAATGGTGCACAACTCTGGTGAACACCTGTCTTTTATGGCATTTGAATGGTCTCCGTGTGTGATTATGGAAGGGCTGGACTTTGCCTCTTTCTTCTCTCAGTAGAGGGTGTGGTGTGTCATGCTGTCCTCAAATGCTCTCCTAAAGTTGCTGTCTCTGAGCCTCCCAACTTACTCAAATACTGCTATTCTTCTCACAAATCAAGTCCAATCTAAACCAGTGTCTTTGTTCGAACTTGTTTCAATTCATAAGTCCTGAGAATTGAATGGTATGTCATATATTTGTTTTCACGTTTCTAAATGTGCTGTTATTTTAGCACCTCCACTGAGTTTTGTTTGTTAATCAGTCGTGCTCCTCTGGATTGAAGTGGTTTTAGGTTTGTGTGTGTGTGTGTGAGAGAGAGAGAGCGAGAGAGATAAGGTAAATAAAGCTGTGTCTGCATCAGGTGATAAACCCGGAGGGCACCTGGGTTCAGCTTGATAAGAACAGTGTGGTGGAGTTCTGTGAGAGTGATGATGGGGAGGCCTGGTCTCTGGCCCGAGACAGAGGGGGAAACCAGTACCTGCGTCACGAGGAAGGTAATGCAAACACACTCCTCTCACTTCCAGCTTTAGTCGTGGCATCCCTTGTGGAAAAAAGTGCACTTAATTGTATTGAATGTGCACTTTTAATATACCTATATGATGGTAAAACTAACGACATTATTAACTGTCTTGATATTTACTTTGAAAGCTGAAGCTCGCGCTTATGGTAAGGTGCCATTACATTTCCGACGCGTGCTTGTGGTGTTCGGCCAATCACAATGCACTGGGTCAGCTGGCCAATCAGAGCAGACTGCGCTTGACAAAGGAGGGGCTTTGTAGAAAATGACGTGTTTGAGAGAGGCGGGGCATAGAGGACCTACAATAATGTACAGTATTTGATAAATAATGTGTTTTTTGAACATTAAAGCATGTCAACATATTCTGTTATGCCAAATACACAAAATAGGGATCTTTAAAATAGCATCATATGACCCCTTTAATAAAATAACAGGCCACTTAAGTGTACTTAAAGAGACTGTTCCTTTAAATAAAAAAACAGTAATGTGAAAGAGCATTCATAAACCATAAGTTGACATACAGCTGGCTGTTAGTTACTGATGTTTATTAATGCTTTTTGTTTCTCTCTGGAACAGAGCAAGCGATTTTGGAGCATGGAGCCCAGACCCCTCCTCCCAGCCCATTCTCAGTCCAGGCGTTTAACAGGGGCGCGGGAAGCTGCGGGGCTCAGGGCTTTGACTATGGCATCAACAACAAAGGTGAGAGTAAAGATTCCGGAGAGATGGAAATAAAATGTGATTTATTATTGAGTGACAGTTACACCTTTGTTTATATGATTACAGTTCATCTGCCAATTAAACATTTTTTCATGCCATGCTCCTGCAAAATATGTCATTTAATCAGATATATCTTGGTAGTTTATTCCATGATGTTAAACGTTACTTCACAAAATTGATGCTAATCCAACAGAGGTAGAATAGCCAGTCATTCAGTCAATTTTTTTTTCGTATTCATATTTTAATAACTGTGATTCCTTTGTTCCTTAAAACCTTTTAGGTTAAAAGTGGACCAGAATTATTTTTTTTCTATCAAACATACAGTACCGTTCTAAAGTTTGGGGTTGGTAATATTTTTTGTTTTTGAAAGAAGTGTCTTATGCTCAAAAATACAGTAAAACAGAAGTATTGTGAAATATTATTACTTAAAATAATACTTATGATTATTACAATTTAAAATAAGCTATTTTAAATGGTAATTAAAATGTAATGCTATTTAATATTTTAAATGTAATTTATTCTTGTGATGGCAAAGCTGAATTTTCAGCAGCCATCATTCTAATTAATGCTGAAAACGGTTGTGCTGCTTAATATTTTTGTGGAAACTGTGAGTGTTGAAAAGAACAGCATTTATTTGAAATATTTTGTAGTATTATAAGTGTCTTTGCTGTCACTTTAAATCAATTGAATGCATCCTTGCTGAATAAAAGTATTCATTTCTTTCAAAAAAATTAAAATCTTGCTGATCCCAAATGGTAGTGAATACTGCACATGTAATGATCTTTTAAATTCCTTATCCAGTAATTACAAAAAAACAGGGAAAATCTTGGAATCTTCATGGAGCCCTGGATATAGTGGATATCAAAACAGTGTCTTTTATTTATAAAAGTGCTGTATGACCCCTGATTAATAAGCAAACACAATCATTTGTCTTAGTTCAGCTCTGTGTAATCAGAGTAATTGTGTCCTGCATGCTGTGATCTGTGTGTCTTGGCTGTCGTCTGTGGCGTGTGAAGGCATCATTGTGTGCATGGGCAAGACTCTGTGTGCTGCAGCTGGGTCTTACCCATTTATTGTCCACTGGCTCTCACCATACTGTTCTCATGCACCGCTGCTTAGTGGCGTTACCCATAGACCGCTGTCTGATGGGTCCTTCATCACCTCTTATACATAATAAGTCCATTGGTCCAAAAAGACCATTGACGTAACAATGGTACCTAACTAAATGCTTCTTGACTAAAAGTCGACATGAAGTCAATATTAACCTTAGAATTGCTCAATATTCCAAAGAAAAAAAAATTAATAACTTGCACATTCTCTAAAAATACTTTCCTTTTTGGCCAGTGTCACTTAGGATGTCCAGGTTATCTTTCGAAATTCCTGCCAGTATTTGCAAATAATGTAATAATTAAAAATGCAGTCATTTGGTAATGTTAATATAACACAATAAAGATTACGGCAGTGATAGCAGTTAACAAATAAGTTAAGAATTATCATAAATACTTTTATTGGGATACCTTGACCTGTTCTCAAGGGTGAACCTGACCTTAAACAGTCAAAAAGTCTTCTCAGAATTCACTGCAAACTCTGATACATGTTCCATTCTCATATGAAATGCCTACTTTTTTGTGATCCAAACAGTTCCTGAGATAAAATCAGTTCCTTCCCTACCTTTTTCCCTTAATAACTTGTCAGACACACATTGCATTATAGAAGTCTTTTCATGTTGACTTGACAACTTAACAACTCAACCAAAATATTAGTTTTCAGTAATGTCATGATACCTGTTAGGTTAGTATTAAAATGTTTAATGCAATTTGACAATCCCCCTCACAGAATTTCCATGAGTTGCACTATAAAAGGGATGAAAGCAGAGCATTGGCTTTGTCTGCCAATGCTTTATATGTGTCCATGTAGTTGTTCCAGATATGAGGTTTCATGAAAACATGAAAACCTGACCTACGGCTCCCCAGGCCATTCCTTATTCCCCTCACGTTGGTTCAGCTGACCCACTCACACACCCCATTATTTCCAGTGAGCGTGTTTGTGTGGGGCCTTAAACTGACTAGCGTTTTGTATGGCTCCTTTTAAGGATCATATAAGCTACAGCACTCCCATTGTCTTCCGCATTGCAGGTGACCGGCTGAGTGCCATACTGAATTCCATTCAGTCTGGGCCTTTCCTCCCAGCTCCTTCCATATTTGAGCAAGCTGCCAAACCTCCCTCTTCCCTTGTCCACAGCCCATTTGTGTTTGGACAATCCCTTTCCCAGCAGCCTCAACCGCATCCACAGCTTCCGAGTAAGTCTGTCCGTCTGTAAGGTAGTGGCGGCGCTTGCTTGCACAGGTGCTGCTTGTTCTTGTCTTAAGCGCTTATTTGTTTAGTATCCCATAGGTTGTGTTGAGATCCATTTAGGCTTATTTCCCCTGCTTTGTCCACCCGCTTGCTTGCTGTGTTTAAATTGGTGATTCTTTTCCTTCTCATCTCATTTTAACTTCAGTGGCTGAATAACATTTAAGTTCCTCTTCCGTGTAGGATTGTAGCCATTTCTATTGTAGCTACTAACAGTGTGTGTTTCATGTCACTTTTTTTTTGCTTGCTACATGTACAGTGCTTAATTTAATCATTCATTAGCTAAACATTTACCAAGAGGTCCAGGAATCTGTCCACGCAATCAAAACCTTGCAGTGCTTTACCATTGCATCCCCCAGTGTAATCAACAATCCATAGGTCTGCATAACAAAAATGAATTTGGGTTATTTGGACATTTAAGGAGCAAGTGTCTCAATATTTTCCACAGCCAGAATACTCTGAATCTGCATTTCAGATTCATTACAGTTCTTCACATTTTATTCTCACTCTTCTGCCACCCTCTTTGCACTGGTTGATGCCCAGTTTTGTTTTAGTCTTGTGCCTGCTTCTACCAGTCTCTGTCTCTTTCACAGTGTCTGTCCTTTTACTTGTTGCTTTTTCTCTATTCATATATCTTTCCGAGTACCTAGATGCTCATCTGGCCCTGTTTACTCTTAGTGTTAACGTCCATCGTGGGTGATCTAACCACCAATTACAGGGCTTGAGTGGGGTTGCATATATTTTTGTCAGCCAATTTGGAGCTTGACTAAAATATTGAGCATTCCACTTAAACTTAAAACTTTAAATGTGTATCTGGAAGCAACAAATATATAGATATTTGTGATGCTGCCTTAGAATTAGAACAGTGTGTCTATGGATGATGCATAATTAAGATGGATACTTTCTAAAATAGCCTTTACATCAGGAGCACATCTATTACATCTGTTTTGAACATAGCAACTGATACTTAAGTTATACATGTAGTCACAAAATCTTTAACTCTCCCCTTGAAAACGAAGTGGTCACAGACCACTTTGAAACGCATGTAAATACCAGGTGTAAACTGCAATTTCTCAGTTATATCACCCAAGACGATTGTTAATATCAAGTATAAACAGGGCAAGAGTCCTTTTTCCCCCTCATACAACCATTTCCACTCTCCATTGTTCATTGGCTCTCACTTTCTTTCTCATTCTCTGATGGTTTTCCTTAGTTCAAGCCTTGTTGTTTACTTTCCTTGCCACTGTTTTCCGCTGTAGATGCTTCATCACGCAGCCTTGCTTCACGTGAGCGTGTGCACAAAAGCAGTGCGACCGGCCCTGGCACCGCTCTCTCATCTCTTGTTCTCAGACAAAAGGGTGGGTAATGCATGTCTTCTCCTGGGAGCACCCTGGAGACTCACTACAGGGAGGGGTTTCATGTCATCCTCGCTTCCACAGTCCATTTATTTCCCCTCTTAGGCATGGCAACAGAGTATGTAGTGCTTTGGAATATACATGGGGACAGGTTTACAAGCTTGACAAAACATTTCACATGACCTGGGTGCTTTCCATTCCCATCAATATTTATGCATTTGCTACCTTAAAATCTTATGAATACTTTAATTCTTATGTAAATAAATGTTGGTCAGTAAATTGAAATTTAAGGTCATTCTTGGATTTCAGTGGATTCTTGTAGATGTCAATTTAACTTGTTTTAAATTTTTTATTTTTTAAGTTTCTCTTATGTTGTAAATTATTTTTCCCTTACATTTTCAGGTGCCATTTTTACTGTTTTGTTTTTTTATTTTTTATTCTTAAATATGTGAAAAGGCCTGACAAGTATTTGTGGAGTGCCTCCTGCACAAACGAGTTGCTGAGTTGCACTTTGTTAACTGATGGTGTATTACGATACGCAGGTGACAGGGATAACATGGCCAGTCGGTCTATGTCTCCAGGCAGCAAGCATCGTCAAGAGAGTCGATCCTCCAAAATGGACAGTCACTCTAGCCGATCTGTTGACCAGGTGAAGAGCAAGAACAATGACAGTCTGTCTGCCAGCGAAGCCCTCATTCTCAAATCAGACACCGGCAAACTGCGGTCTGACTCTCACAGCCGCTCCCATTCCCCTAACCACAACACTTTACAAGCCCTAAAAGCTGATGGCCGAACTCCAGGCCTTAGGGCTGAGTCTCCGAACCCTGGCTCCCGTTCCTCCTCACCCAAACAGAAAGCCTTTAATTCAGGCAGATCTAGCCCTTCCAGCAACAGTTCCCCACGTTCATCCTCTCCTCATGATAAGAACCTGCCCTCTAAAGTTAGTCCTTCTAAAGCTCACCTGGACCCTCCACGTGAGAGATCTAAATCTGATTCTTATACGCTAGACCCTGACACTCTTAGAAAGAAGAAAGTTCCTCTCATGGAACCTCTGAGGGGCAGGTCTACGTCTCCAAAGCCAAAAACTTCACCCAAAGAAAGCAAAGGAGGAAGCATCAATGCCGAGAACCGAGCCCCATCTCCTCATGTAGTTCAGGAAAACCTCCACAGTGAAGTGGTGGAGGTGTGTAGGTCCAGCACCTTGCTATCCAACGATGAAGCCAATGATGAGAATGCAGAGTTGAACAATGCTGAAGAGGGCTCCTCCAAGGTCCACTTTAGTATCGGAAAAGCCCCAGTCAAGGAGGAACTTGAAAGTCGTTCTTCACCCAAAGTCAGCCGTAAAACCTCCAGCAAGCATGTGAGACCCAAAAAAGACAAATCAGGGCCACTCTTTAAGGGTGAAAACGTGCGTCCCACTGAACCCGCCAAGCAAGCCATGTCGCCTTCTGTTGCAGAATGTGCCCGTGCTGTTTTTGCTGCCTTCCTGTGGCATGAGGGCATAGTACATGATGCCATGGCATGTTCTTCCTTCCTCAAGTTCAACCCTGAGCTGACCAAAGAACATGCACCCATCCGTAATTCTCTCAGCTGCCAACAGGGTTTTGAGGAGAAGGAGAGCAAACTGAAGAACCGTCACTCTTTGGAGATCTCCTCGGCACTCAACATGTTCAACATATCACCACATGGCCCAGACATTTCCAAGATGGGTAGCATCAACAAGAACAAGGTTCTGTCCATGCTAAAAGAGCCACCCTTGCCCGAGAAGTGCGAGGATGGAAAAAGTGAGGCGGTCTCCTACGAGATGACTAGCCACTCCTCCATGAGGTCTAAGTCCATCTTGCCTCTCACCCTCCAGCACCTAGTTGCCTTCTGGGAGGATATATCCATGGCTACCATAAAAGCGGCTACACAGAATATGATCTTCCCGAGTCCAGGGTCCAGTGCTATCCTTAAAAAGAAGGAAAATGAAAAGGACGGCAAGAAGACCAAGAAAGAGAAGAAGAAGAAGGAGAAAGCGGAGATTCGCCCCAGGGGGAACCTCTTTGGAGAGATGGCGCAGTTAGCTATGGGAGGCCCAGAGAAGGATACCATCTGTGAGCTGTGTGGAGAGTCTCACCCATACCCTGTTACCTACCACATGAGACAGACCCACCCAGGTACAGTGCCGTCAATTCTTGGGTCTTACTCCATTCTGTTTTTTTCAGAGCAGTTCAAAGGTTATACAGTCCAATAGATTAAGTATATCATCAGTTCTCTGTATTGTGTTCTTTCAGGCTGTGGCCGGTATGCTGGAGGTCAGGGCTATAACAGTATTGGTCACTTTTGTGGAGGCTGGGCTGGTAATTGTGGAGATGGTGGGATTGGAGGAAGCACCTGGTACTTGGTGTGTGATCGTTGTAGAGAGAAGTACCTGAGAGATAAACAAACGGCTGCCAGAGAAAAGGTATACCTGTCATGACCAATGTAGGGAGATGCATAATATTTGTAGATATATCGCATGTCTAAAACAGTGTATAATTCTTTATTGGGTTCGACCCTGTGGTTCTTGGATCAGGTTAAGCAGTCAAGGAAGAAACCTCTCCAGGTTAAAACCCCACGCTCTCTGCCCACGATGGAGGCCCACCAGGTGATCCGTGCCAATGCACTGTTCCTGCTGTCTCTGAGCAGCGCCGCTGAGCCAAGTCTACTTTGCCATCACCCACCTAAACCCTTCCACACACATCTGCCCAGCCTCAAAGAGGGAGTGTCTGAGGAACTACCCAACAAGATGGGCTGCCTCTATCTGCAAACGCTAGCCCGGTAAATACCTTGTTCACACCTTGATCACCATCACCATAGGCTGCATTGTTGAAGTAATTCAATGTATGGAATATCTCTTTCTCAATTACCTTTTTGCAGCCAACACACTGAGAACTTTGGGGCCTATCAAGATGACAACCTGTTTCAGGATGAGATGCGTTACTTGCGTTCTACGTCAGTCCCTGCTCCCTACATCTCAGTCACTCCAGATGCCTGCCCCAATGTTTTTGAAGAGCCAGGAAGTAACATGAAGTCCATGCCCCCAAGGTACTCTAACAAGCTTCCCACCTCCCAAAGTACTGTGTTCTATGAACATTTTACATTATGGATATGCTTATATCTTTATGAATTTTTTTTTTTTACTTTGTTCCTTTAGTTTGGAGACAAGTCCAATCACAGACAGTGACACGGCCAAGCGGACAGTATTCCAGCGCTCATATTCAGTGGTTGCCTCTGAGTATGATAAGCAGCACTCAGCCTCCCCAGCACGGGTCAAAGCAGTACCGAGACGCAGGGTACACAGCGGGGATGCAGGTGATGTTGTGTCACTTTGTACAACACAGTTACAAATGTCTAATTAATTCAGCTAATTGTTACAATAATGACAGTGCCTGAAGTCTGAGAATCTATTTACATCAGGTATGCTGCCTTTATATTGGACTGGGCTTTAGAGGGAAAAGTAATCAGTTTTCAGTCTTTTAAAGTTATTCTATATATAATTTGCATTAGGCTGCTCATTTTATCCAATTTTCATTTCATTGCATTGCATTGTATACATTTTAGTAGTTCTTGTATTCTCTGGGATTTAAACCCATGAACTTGGTGTTGATAGCACCATGTTTTACTGCTTAACCTACAAGAATGTTAAAATGGCTTGTATGCATGATTCATAGCAATATTTACCTTTACCTTTTACCAACGTGTGAGTTCTCGAATCGTCATAGCACAGTTTGGAATCGATTAATTGAAACTTTAAGCTCAGGAAAATCTATACGTGACCAGAAATGCAAGATGCCACTTTTATATTTATGATGTAAATATTTACGCTGAATTAAAAAAAAAAAAAAAAAATTTTAGTTTTGTGTTCACTGCTAGAATTTTTACTATTGTGATATCTTACAATTCAAAAGTTGAGTTAAACATTTTAAATGTGAGTTAATTTCTGCTGGTCTCTACAGAAGTTGGGTCATCTCTGCTTCGTCACCCTTCTCCTGAGTTGTCTCGACTGATCTCAGCCCATGGCTCTCTCAGCAAGGGTGAAAGGAACTTCCAGTGGCCTGTGCTGGCATTTGTTATCCAGCATCATGATCTAGAGGGTCTGGAGGTGGCTATGAAGCATGCACTCCGCAAATCAGCATGCAGGGTGTTTGCCATGGAGGTCAGTGATATTCTCTCAGACATTCTCTCTGGCCATCTGCCTACTTTCATTCCTCTTCTTCTTGTCCCAAATTGTACAGTCATAGACATACACTGTTGAATATGAACTATGAATTAACTGTGGGGTCCCACGATCATGGAAAACCTGAAAATATAAGGGAATTTTATAAATTCCTACATTCATAAAAAATTGTGTATTAAAATCCTTATCCAGTTATCACAATTTTCTAGAAAAGTAATGGAAATTTAGTCCGCAGTTCTGGGAACTCTTAACAAACCTTTTGTTTTGGGTTTCCTTCTCAGGCTTTTAATTGGCTGCTGTGTAACGTTACCCAAACCACCTCCCTCCATGATATCCTGTGGCACTTTGTGGCGTCTCTGACTCCGTCTCCCTTTGAGGCGGAAGAAGAGGAGGATGAAGAGAACAAAGGGAACAAGGAGAACCTCGAGCAGGTGTGGCCTTACGACAACACAGCTAATGGTTTATTAATAAGTCACTATTCACTTGAGTTGAACAAAGGTTTTTCTGACATGGGACGTTTTCCCTCTTTTCTTGCAGGAGAAGGATTTAGGTGTCTGTGAGCACCCCCTGTCTGACATTCTCATCGCAGGAGAGGCGGCTCACCCGCTGCCCCACACCTTCCACCGTCTGCTCCAGACCATCTCTGACCTCATGATGTCACTTCCCAGTGGAAGCTCACTTCAGCAGATGGCCCTGAGGTATCTTCTGTCTGTTCACAGAGACACCTCTAGCAATCAGAACATCTTAGTAACCACACACTGCAATTGTAACAACCCATAACACATAGCAATATGCTAAATAACACCCAGAACACTTTAGTAACCACATAATAACGCCCTAGCAACAGCATAGGTACGTGGTGATGGAAAGATTTGCACATGCAAGCTCAACCTACATTGTACAAATCTAGTATTTGTTTGGCTGTTTCACTAGGTGTTGGAGTCTTAAATTCAAACAATCAGATCATCAGTTCCTGCACCAGAGTAATGTGTTTCACCACATCAACAACATCCTGTCCAAATCAGATGATGGGGACAGTGAGGAGAGTTTTAACATCAGCGTACAGTCGGGATACGAAGCGATTAGTCAGGTGGGAAACTTTTCATTAGCTTCATCCGTGTTGATTGAATACAAAGACTTTCTTTCCTGTTGCTTTTACATTTATGCATTTGGCAGAAGCTTTTATTTAAATTGGCCTACGTTGCAATGAAGGTATACATTTTACATGTATTGCAGGAACTTTGTGTAGTGACCTGCCTGAAAGATCTGACCAGCGTGGTGGACATTAAAACGTCCAGCCGACCAGCCATGATCGGCAGCCTGACTGATGGCTCCACTGAGACGTTCTGGGAGTCTGGAGATGAAGATAAGAACAAAACAAAGAGCATCACTATCAGCTGTGTCAAAGGCATCAATGCCTCATATGTCTCTGTCCATGTCGACAACTCTCGTGACATTGGAGTGAGTTCGCGAACTATTGTTCTCTGTTTTTCTGTCCGTTCTTAGTCAGTATATTAATACCAGTCTCCGTGTTGGCCAACTGTTAAGTCTGTATACATTTTATGAAGTGTTCAAAGTGCATAAGGCCTATATAACCTTCAAACATTCAGATATTACTTTTTTTTTGACAATTTTCTATTTTGAATGGATAATTTATAATATTTTTGTATTTATACACGTATCTGTAAACAGCTAGTGATTAATATAACGTGTGCTTTGTGTTCTGTCAGAATAAAGTTACATCAATGATATTCCTTTGTGGGAAGGCTGTGGAAGATCTCTGCAGAATCAAACAGGTGGGACTTAAATGATAGAGTGAATGTTTTTACAATTTGGTAAATGACATTAATTCAGTTTGAAAAAGGCAGTAAACTCATAGTCCTGAGGCCCAAGAGCTACTAGGCAACAGCCAAAATGCTTATCAAAGCATGTCTGCATGGAAATCACCAGATCAGTCTGGGGTCCCTTAAGGCCTCCAGGGTCGTTTCACTGAATGGACTTTGTTGTCTCAGTTTGACTTAGACTCAAGGCACATGGGCTGGGTGACCAGCGAGCTGCCTGGAGGAGACCATCATGTGATCAAGATCGAACTTAAGGGTCCTGAGAACACACTTCGGGTACGGCAGGTCAAAGTGCTTGGCTGGAAGGAGGGCGAGAGCATCAAGATTGCTGGGCATATATCAGCCAGTGTAGCTCAGCAGAAGAACTGTGAGGCTGAGACGCTGCGTGTCTTCCGCCTCATTACATCACAGGTAAGCACAAAGGCACGAACCTCAGTAAGGTTGCATCATCAGTGTCAGTGCCACTGTACATCAAACGCTGCAGTGCAAGACACTCGTTCACAGGTATTGTTTAAGGATAGGAAAAAGTCATTTTTATGTGTTTGTGTAGGTATTTGGAAAACTAATTTGTGGGGATGCAGAACCAACACCAGAACAAGAAGAGAAGAACCTGCTCTCCTCACCTGAGGGTGAAGACAAGGTCAGTACCAGAATCTATGGTGTTTGATGGCTCGTTACAACCATTGCTCAATGCCATATCAAGCGCTGAAGCATAAGATGAAGCTGTTCAATTATGTTACTAATGTTTTGTCTTCAGGCTCCATCTGATGCAGACTTGAAGGAGCACATGGTTGGCATTATTTTCAGCAGGAGCAAACTGACCAACCTTCAGAAACAGGTAACACCATCGAAACTGCGCTCAGCTCTTTATTAAATCAAGCGAGCTGCCTAAAAATCCATCCAAGATGGCAGAAGAAGTGATAGGAGGGTTGATTATAAATGTACCAATACATTTCCAAAAAAAACAGCAAAAATAGTTCAGTCTTAGTAAAACTGAATTTGTGCTTTATTAGATTATTTTCCATGGTAAAACGAATGAATACTGAATGAATGTATGAATACACAAAATGCATGATCACCAGTAGGTTTGGAAAAAAAGCATAGCAAGTTTTCTAGGGCTAATTATAATATTTTATAACAATTATGAAATGATTGTTTAGGACATAAATATTCATAACCTAGAGGCTAGAAATAGCAAGCTAGCTTTGAAAGCATAAGATCCCACCCTACCTGCAAATCACTCTCCAAAGCCACGCCTCCTCCAAAACACATGAACGTGCACAGAGGCAGACCAGAGACTAACCAGTGACACGACGAGATATGGTGTTGGTGGAGGGTTGAATGCAAACCTGTCAGATTACCTCATGTTGCATTCACCATTGAGAAAACTTTACAATACAAAGTGCATAATATTACAATAATAACGCCTTCCATTCTCGCTCGGTCTGCAATAGTGTAATGGTACGTGGACCGAGGGATACGATTAGATGAACCTTTTATGGTCCTACGCCTTCCACAGATGATATAAATACATTTATACCACTTAACTTAGTGATTGCTATCGTGATGTGAAGAGACTTCCAACCAGCATAACAAATTTTTTTTTAACCAAATCATACCCTGCCTGTAAAGGGATAGTTCACCCAAAATTGAAAATGCGATGTTTATCTGCTTACCCCCAGGGCATCCAAGATGTAGGTGACTTTGTTTCTTCAGTAGAACACAAACAAAGATTTTTAAGTCAAACCATTGTAGTCTGTCAGTCTTATAATGCAAGTGGATGGGAATCACGACTTTGAGAGTCAAAAAACATACACAAACAAAACCAAATTAAACCCTGCGGCTCGTGACGATACATTGATGTGTAAAGACACGAAACGATCGGTCTGTGCAAGAAACTGAACAGTATTTATATCGTTTTTTACCTCTGATTCACCGCAATGTCCGAACTGTCCAGAGCGCATCCTGAGCGCGTTCAACAGCTGGCACCTGACGTGTCTTGCTTTTCGGCGGATCGCAGACTTATAAGTGCATTACCGCCACCTATCTCTCAAGTGGACCATTGACACTCCTAATTGAGATTGTAGATCATGTCAACGGTCCACTTGAGAGATAGGTGGCGGGTCCAAGCCCCTTTAAGAATACTCAATTCAGAATCTCAACAGCTGTTTTTGAGCATTGTTTATTTATAGCACATATTTAAGCTAAGATTTAAAAAAAAAAAAAGTGAACACTACAGAATCTGGGCTCACGGCGTCCCGACGTCATAAAAAATGAATCACTGTCAGAACTCCTGATATTTCTCTTGATGTGTAAAGACACGAAACGATCGGTCTGTGCAAGAAACTGAACAGTATTTATATCGTTTTTTACCTCTGATTCACCGCAATGTCCGAACTGTCCAGAGCGCATCCTGAGCGCGTTCAACAGCTGGCACCTGACGTGTCTTGCTTTTCGGCGGATCGCAGACTTATAAGTGCATTACCGCCACCTATCTCTCAAATGGACCATTGACACTCCTAATTGAGATTGTAGATCATGTCAATGGTCCACTTGAGAGATAGGTGGTGGGTCCAAGCCCCTTTAAGAATACTCAATTCAGAATCTCAACAGCTGTTTTTGAGCATTGTTTATTTATAGCACATATTTAAGCTAAGAGTTAAAAAAAAAAAAAAGTGAACACTACAGAATCTGGGCTCCCGGCGTCATAAAAAATGAATCACTGTCAGAACTCCTGATATTTCTCTATGGAGATAAAGGTTAGGATTATGATTTTTAGTAGTGTTACATCACACAGTGAGTCTATATAAGCATCGTTTGCTGCTTTTGGGATCTGGTAGAGCATTTGGAGTCAGAAACAGTGACACATGACATCAGACTTAAGCGTATTGTGAGTCCAGTCTCTGGTGCTTTTCGTGTGAGGAAGGGTATTTGTAGAGCGTTCTACATCCATTACTTATGAGGTTCCATTTCAGGCACTAGACAGCCAGCCTTTTCCTGTTCCCAAGTCTCTATAAATTGCCTCTCTTAAAATGCCAGTTACTCCACATCTCACTGTTTGCCTCCTCAGGTATGTGCTCATATCGTTCAGGCCATCCGTATGGAGGCCACACGAGTGCGGGAGGAATGGGAGCACACCATTTCCAGCAAGGAGAACGCAAACTCTCAGCCCAGTGACGACGACGCCTCCTCTGATGCTTACTGCTTTGAGCTGTTGTCTATGGTGCTGGCCTTGAGTGGATCTAACGTTGGGCGGCAGTACCTAGCCCAGCAGCTCACCCTACTGCAGGACCTCTTCTCCCTCCTTCACACCGCTTCGCCACGCGTCCAGAGACAGGTTTGTGAATGCATCGTTAACTGCTAGTCTTGAACTTGACTTTCTAGAATCAGGATCTAGAAAGCAGCACTGTTCTTGCCACGCAGGTGACGTCACTGCTCAGGCGCGTTCTTCCTGAGGTCACTCCCATGCGCCTGGCCAGCGTCATCGGCGTAAAGGCTCTACCACCAGCAGACATCAGTGACATCATCCACTCCACCGAGAAGAGCGACTGGACCAAGCTGGGCATTTTAGATATGTTTCTGGGCTGCATCGCAAAGGCCCTCACTGTGCAGCTCAAGGCGAAGGGCACCACTATAGTTGGCACAGCTGGCATGGCTGCAGGCAAAGGAGTCACTACAGTCACCCTACCCATGATCTTCAACTCAAGGTCAGCTTGCTTGCATTGTGCCATTGTTAGATTTCATTTGAAAATGACACGGCCCTGCATCATATTTGCTGAATGAAATCCAATACTTGTTTCTTCGTAATTTAGGGGTGTTGATTCCAAAAATAGTGCCTTTTTTTGCTCTTGCACATCACACATTTTCACAAAATATGTGCTTTTCGTTTAATAAAGCTTTCAATTTTGTCTGAACATTAGAATGTGTCCTGTTTAATTTACTTTCTTTTTTTTTTTTGAGAAAAATAATGACCGTCATACATTTTTATGATGCAAATTACTTTTTTAAGATGCAGGGCTGAGTTATTTAAAACGCAGGGTCTGAAATGAACGTGTTCCATCTTCAGTGCACAAGAAGGGTTCTGGAGAACCGCTGGCTTGGGCCCAGGATAACCTTCGGGTTCATGTCTTGCCCTATTTGCAAGGTAAATAAGCTAGTCTGGACTCACTTTGAGTTAAAGGTCAGGCTGAATGATTAATCAGAATAAAATCTAAATCACACTATTGCTTAGTGTGATTATCTAATTGCAAAGATTGTATTTTAATTAGACATGTGCTGAGTCAAAGTGAAGGACAGCACTGTGTTCATTTACACGTGAGCAGCTCATAATCCAGTGTTTTCAGAGTCTCAGGGCAAGCTCAGTTCACAGTAAATACAATTGTGCCATTGTTAGATTTCATTTGAAAATGACACGGCCCTGCATCATATTTGCTGAATGAAATCCAATACTTGTTTCTTCGTAATTTAGGGGTGTTGATTCCAAAAATAGTGCCTTTTTTTGCTCTTGCACATCACACATTTTCACAAAATATGTGCTTTTCGTTTAATAAAGCTTTCAATTTTGTCTGAACATTAGAATGTGTCCTGTTTAATTTACTTTCTTTTTTTTTTTTGAGAAAAAATAATGACCGTCATACATTTTTATGATGCAAATTACTTTTTTAAGATGCAGGGCTGAGTTATTTAAAACGCAGGGTCTGAAATGATCTTAAGGGTCTGAAATGAACTTTTTAGGAATATATATTTAACTTTTTGTCTCTCTGTGCAGCTACATACGGCGTGGAATAAGTCACTGGTGGATGAAGGGCTCCACTCCTCCTCAGATCGCTGAGATTATCATTAAACTTGTCAAAGACATGGCTGCTGTGAGTAATGATGGCTCATCTAATCATAAACACCATTTTTGTGTTAACAATATGCAGCAGATTTGCTGTTCAGCTTCATGTTTGTGAATGAAATTATGTATAATCTTGCACTGTGTAACTTGATCTGCTGCAGATGTGTTTTAATGAATTTACAGAAATGGTCATTTAAGTGTCTTTTTACCCCAGGGCCACCTCTCGGATGCCTGGTCCAGGGTGACTAAGAATGCTATTGCTGAGACCATCATTGCGCTCACTAAGATGGAAGAGGAGCATCGCTGTCCAGTGCGCTGCATTGCCACCACTCGGGTACGACTCGAATGCATTCACTTCATCTGTCACAAGGTCACTAGGTCAGTATTACTCAGGATCCTTCAGCTGGAGGGATCAGGGGTGACTGGTGGGTGGAGTTTATCACCATGTGATCTGATACAAGTCAGCAGCAAAATGAAATGCAATATCACTTGATTACTTTTAGGCTCCCACAGTCATGGAATCCTGGAAATGTGTACATCATTGAATTTAAATTTCAAATTGTTCTGCTTCCTCTCGTCAGCTATGGCTCGCATTGGCCTCTCTGTGTGTGCTGGATCAGGACCACGTGGACCGACTGTCTTCAGGACGCTGGATGGGCAAAGACGGGCAGCAGAAGCAGATGGTACGGCACGTTGGGTCAAAGCACAATCAGTGCAAAGGTACATTAAGTCATTCTGCCGAGAATGAGCTCTTTACCTCTTCGCCCTGACTTTTAATTTGCAGCCCATGTGTGATAATCATGACGACGGAGAGACGGCAGCCATTATTCTGTGTAATGCTTGTGGAAACCTGTGCACTGACTGCGACCGCTTCCTCCATCTCCACCGCCGCACACGGACCCACCAGAGACAGGTGAACCTTGAATGCCCAAACATATCGAATCATCTAATTACTGTCTGGTTGTCCATATGACATCCTGTTAAAAATACACACAGGGGACAGAGTTTTAACGTATTAAATGCTGCTTTAAAAAAATATATGATATCAAGAGTATTACGGTATATCATAATAGTTATATAAGAAAAAATATTTATATATTTGGTTTTATGTTCTATATTTATATGTTTTGTGCTTCTATAAAAGTACTGTAAGAATTGTTAATGAAATTACTATGAGAAATAATTATGTGACGTTTGAATTAGAAAAAGGATCATTTTAAGTTTCTCATAACACATTCCATGGTATGCCCAGGTCTTTAAGGAGGAGGAAGAGGCCATTAAGGTGGACCTACATGAAGGCTGTGGTAGAACCAAACTCTTTTGGCTCATGGCATTGGCCGATTCGAAGACCATGAAGGCCATGGTGGAGTTCCGCGAGCACACAGGTGACTTCCTCATTTCATAATAGTGTTTCATAATTTAGAGAGAAGAGAAGAGGGGGAAGTGGGAATGTTGCAAATGGGACTCAAACTTTGTCCATATAAACACTGCTGAGTTCATTTTCATTAAGACAGTATTTGCCCTCTAAATTTTTTAATTGAATTTTTTTAGAGCTTTATTTTTCCAAATATGGCACTAGCAACATCAAGATCATTGGTTCCGTTTCCAGGGAAGGCAAGAACTGATCAAATTGTGTACCTTAAATCCAATGCAAGTCATCAAACGCATAAATGTAAAAGTAAATTTAATTCTAAGTCAGAACAGTTATGCCGGTTACCTATAAAATCAAAAATGTATATACAAAATTAGTTGCAAGTAATGTGCAAGATATCAAAACACAATACATTTTCTGCAATATTTTAATATATATTATATTTCACATATCTTACTGTAGATTTTTAAATATTGACTTTAAGGTTTTTGGAAGCGTTTTCTTCATATTCAGAGTTTTTATTTTTTTTATTTATTGGTTTATTTATTATTAATCCCTTTATATTACCTACGCCATGAACAAAATTTTACCCGTGAGACTGTAAATACAGCCACAGGTCACTACAGTGTCTACAGAAGCACTACATAAGCCTGGAAAAGAATATTATGAAATATGATAAATGTTAGATAATAGATAAAAAAACGAATTTTGTCCCCACAATTTAAATACCTGCTGCATTTTTGTCACTATTGGGGTCATATGTGCCCTGAGCCCTGCGTAATTTTTCTAGGCCACAGCTGTGACATGTCCTATTTTCAGTATTCTTCTTTATTTGACTAGTGCCTAGTTATAGCTAAAATGGCATTATTGTACTGTCCTTCAGGTAAACCAGCATCCAGCAGTTCAGACGTCTGCCGCTTCTGTGGCACCAGGAACGGCACAGAGCTGTCTGCAGTAGGAAGTGTATGTTCAGACCAAGACTGTCAGGTATTCACTCAAAATGTCACTCTTTTTGGCAGAATGATATGCTTTTTTACACTGTTAAATGTTTTACTGGAATTCAGTGATCTCACTAGCATACTGGTGTATTTTAATTCTTGTGTAGGAGTACGCAAAACTGGCCTGCAGTAAGACTCATCCGTGCGGTCACCCGTGTGGAGGGGTCAAAAATGAAGAGCTGTGTCTTCCCTGTTTACATGGTTGTGACAAAACCACAGCCTGTCTGAAACAGGATGCTGACGATATGTGTATGATTTGCTTCACTGAGGCTCTGTCTGCTGCTCCAGCAATCCAGGTACAGCAGAATACTGTCACTGCGTGTGATGGCATAAAGAGGATATAGAATTACATGCATGAGATTAGCATGTAATTGTCTGTCCTGGTTTATTTGCAGCTGGACTGCAGTCACGTGTTCCATCTTCAGTGCACAAGAAGGGTTCTGGAGAACCGCTGGCTTGGGCCCAGGATAACCTTCGGGTTCATGTCTTGCCCTATTTGCAAGGTAAATAAGCTAGTCTGGACTCACTTTGAGTTAAAGGTCAGGCTGAATGATTAATCAGAATAAAATCTAAATCACACTATTGCTTAGTGTGATTATCTAATTGCAAAGATTGTATTTTAATTAGACATGTGCTGAGTCAAAGTCAAGGACAGCACTGTGTTCATTTACACGTGAGCAGCTCATAATCCAGTGTTTTCAGAGTCTCAGGGCAAGCTCAGTTCAGAGTAAATCATTTTTTTTATTTGGGAACACAACATGCAAGCTACAAGGGCTCACTCCACCAAATAAAAGCTTGATGGTTTAATGTTTGAAAATCAAGAAATTAATACATAAATATTGGTATTGTAATTTCACAGTTGTACAGTAAATTAAAATAATAATTTTTCTTAGGTACTTGATTTTTACTTGATGAAATAATAGTAGAACAGTAGTAATTGTTCTTAGTTTGTTTGATATTATAATTTAATAATTATTATTATAATCATAATAAAATAATAGCAAATATAATTATAATATAATAATATAATAATTCATATTTTATATTTATAAAATCTCAAAATATTTAGGGATGCAAAAATTGCATTTTCGTTTCTTGGCAGAAAGAGGAAAAATGGCCGAAAAAATTAGCCGAAAATATATGCCACACCGCCTTGCCATGGCTCCGCTCTATGAATGTGCGTTCTGTTGAGTTGCTCATGGCCCATATAAACGCTCCACTCGTGTACCGCTCATGCTCTTCGGAAAGTCTGCTCAAATAACGTGCCGACAGGAAATTTCTATGTAGTATACTTGTTCCTGTTTGCAATAGTGCTACTGTGCTGTTATTTGGGAACACAACATGCAAGCTACAAGGGCTCACTCCACCAAATAAAAGCTTGATGGTTTAATGTTTGAAAATCAAGAAATTAATACATAAATATTGGTATTGTAATTTCACAGTTGTACAGTAAATTAAAATAATAATTTTTCTTAGGTACTTGATTTTTACTTGATGAAATAATAGTAGAACAGTAGTAATTGTTCTTAGTTTGTTTGATATTATAATTTAATAATTATTATCATAATAAAATACTAGCAAATATAATTATAATATAATAATTCATATTTTATATTTATATAATCTCAAAATATTTAGGGATGCAAAAATTGCATTTTCGTTTCTTGGCAGAAAGAGGAAAAATGGCCGAAAAAATTAGCCGAAAATATATGCCACACCGCCTTGCCATGGCTCCGCTCTATGAATGTGCGTTCTGTTGAGTTGCTCATGGCCCATATAAACGCTCCACTCGTGTACTGCTCATGCTCTTCGGAAAGTCTGCTCAAATAACGTGCCGACAGGAAATTTCTATGTAGTATACTTGTTCCTGTTTGCAATAGTGCTACTGTGCTGTAACATGGTGTAGTACAGCTGTACTGGGCAACGCTGGTAAAATGACGCTACCCTCTCGTAACTAGTGTTAATTTTGTCAGCTATTTTTAATTTAGTCTTAGTCCTGTGTCAAATGTAACTTTTTTTTTTTGTTTTTATCATATTTAGTCAACTTGTCCTTTTCGTGTTTTAGTCAAGTTTTAGTCGACTAGTTGTCTGAGAATTTTAGTCAATGGAATTCTAATTTTAGTCAATGGAAACTTACACATTTTTGTCATATTTTCGTCTTACTGTATAATGGTTAAAATTATGCATTTTTATTTATTTTTTTGCTCAATTTTAATTGCAATGATTGTTGTCATTTGGGAAATGTATTTAAAATATATGCCACACCGCCTTGCCATGGCTCCGCTCTATGAATGTGCGTTCTGTTGAGTTGCTCATGGCCCATATAAACGCTCCACTCGTGTACTGCTCATGCTCTTCGGAAAGTCTGCTCAAATAACGTGCCGACAGGAAATTTCTATGTAGTATACTTGTTCCTGTTTGCAATAGTGCTACTGTGTTGTAACATGGTGTAGTACAGCTGTACTGGGCAACGCTGGTAAAATGACGCTACCCTCTCGTAACTAGTGTTAATTTTGTCAGCTATTTTTTTATTTAGTCTTAGTCCTGTGTCAAATGTAACTTTTTTTTTAGAACTAATGTTTTTAGTTTTTATCATATTTAGTCAACTTGTCCTTTTCGTGTTTTAGTTTTAGTCAAGTTTTAGTCGACTAGTTGTCTGAGAATTTTAGTCAATGGAATTGACATTTTCACATTTTTGTCATATTTTCGTCTTACTGTATAATGGTTAAAATTATGCATTTTTATTTATTTTTTTGCTCAATTTTAATTGCAGTGATTGTTGTCATTTGAGAAATGTATTTTTGCATTTCATCAAAAGTTGCTCTTTCACCAATAATCACAAATCAATAGAATATCGACTCGTATGCATGGTTTATTTGACCTCATCTAACGTTAGTGTACAGCTTTATAGCAGGAAATCAATTAGAGGCTAAATAAACACCAAAGACTTCAGATATACACTCGCCCTGTCTACGTTATGAAAACCTGTGTAACAAAAACCTACTCTCAAATATTATTACAGAGAAATTCCTAATAGTAATTCCAAGTTGCATTAATGTTTCTCTTTTAAAACAACGGCGACTTATTGCCGCACAGAGGTCGTGTAAGTAACGTTACAATCAGCAACCACTATCACAAACAATACAGTCGAGATCCATGACCGAACACAGACTGGCTGAATGACACTTTCATTTAAGCAGAATACGTCAAGCGGAGATCGCTGAACTCCAGCTTACTTGTACAGTACTGTATGTCGGTGTTTTCAGATCACGGCACCTCCGCAGAGAGAGCACGCGTGTGTGAATGGCTGCCAGATTGCATAAAGCAAAAAGCCAGGGCAGAGTACGGATCCGTTTAACAGAAAATCTCTGATTGGGGGATTTGAGGTCTTGATATCTGGCAACCGCAAACATGAAAGCTCGCATAATAGTCTTGCACAGCAGTTTTCAAAAAAAATAAAAAGGTTTTTGTAAAGTTTTTGTTCTTTTAACTACATTTTAGTCTCGTCAATGATATTACATGTTCATTTAGTCTCAGTTATCGTTTAATGACCTTGTTATCGTCTCGTTTTCGTCAGGGGAAAAAACCTCATTGACAAACATTTTTCGTTATAGTTTTCATTAACGAAATTAACACTACTCGTGGCGCTATGCTCTGCTCACATGCTCTGATAATTATAGCTTTGTAGGATTATACATTATTTGGATAATTAAAAATAAAACATTAAATCTGTTGCATAGAAAAGATATTAATATTAAATATAAACATATTATTTTTATTCACTTCTGTCCAATTTTATTGTTTTACTTTCAATAAAAGGGTGGTTATTTTATTGGCTTTTAATTTTTTTAATTCAGTACCATTAAAATTCAGTTATTTTATATTTATTATTTTATGAGTTAAATTAGGAAGTCTTACAAAATCATTTTATATTATTTAATAAAAATAATAAATTATTAAAAAGCATTTTCGGTTTAAAAAAAAACAAAAACCAACAAAAAACAAAAATGTTTGAAAACAAAAATTGTATCGCAATTTTAAAAAAAATCGCAAAAATCTGAATTTTTAAATTGTGCAGCCCTAGTTAATGGACTAATTCAGCTAGAAAGTGAAAATTCTGTCTTTATTCATCATGTTCCAAACCTAAATGTGACTGACTGACTTCCATAAAAGACGAAGTTTTGAAGTATGTTCGAGTGACTAAATGATGACAGAATTAAAATTTTTGGTGAATAATTCTGCTCTAAGTCTGCATGTAACTCACCCTATCTAGCTCTAATTGTAAACGTTAAATCCATGCATACGTTTTTTAAATTTTTTTATTTAAATTATTTGTTTTTTTACCTTTATTAATTACAAAGATATTCCAGTGGAACGACAGTCTTCTCTCTGGTCACATACTGTATGTCAGACATCTCCAGTCATTTAGTCCTCAATCATTTATACTTCTCTGTTCTTCATGAACCAAAGCCAGTCTAAACTCTTCCTTCATTCCTCTAACTAGATGCTGCTCATGATATCTAACAGTGGATGTACCTGCCATTTGATGTGTGTCTGTCTTGTTTTTTAGAACAAAATAAACCACTCTGTCCTAAAAGATCTGCTCGAGCCCATCAAAGAGCTGTATGAGGACGTGAGGAGGAAGGCTTTAATGAGACTGGAGTATGAAGGACTGCACAAGAGTGAAGCCATCACAATGTCTGGAGCTCGATTCTACAACAACCCAGCTGGATTTGCCATGAACAGATATGCTTACTACGTCTGCTTCAAGTGCAAAAAGGTTCGATCTTTTGTTTTGTGTAGTGTTCACAAGCCTCCAGTGGAACACAGAAGCAGTGGTTTTAAACAATCCTACTTTTATATGATGGAAAGCTTTCAGAAAGAGAACAATTGGGTTTGACTGAACTGCCCCTTTAAGGATGTCTCTGTTTACTATGAATAGAATGGAAAAACATGGTTGGCAAAAATGATTAAACGCAGCTCACTCCTGTAGAGCAAGAGCTATTTGCCAGCATGAAATGAGATTTAGACTGCCATAATGAAGCCATTTCTCCAGCTGTTGTGCTAACAGTGTGACTTCTGACTCATCCAGGCCTATTTTGGGGGAGAAGCTCGCTGTGATGCCGAGGCAGGACAAGGCGACGATTATGATCCCCGTGAGCTCATCTGTGGTGCGTGCTCGGATGTGTCCAGAGCACAGGTCAGTGGGACAACAGTGTGTTTGGGGAAAAAACAAGGCACATTCCATGTGCTTGCATGTTCTGTTTTTAACACCATAGAGACCAGAAACCCAGTTTTGTTGTCCTAAAGTCAATGGCTTTTTTAATTAGTTTATGGTTCAATGCCTAAAAAAGCTCTATTTTCAAGTTGTTCTACACCATAAAATACATCAGTAATAACCTACACATGATTTTTTTTTAAGCTTTTATGTTTCTTGAAAAAGGCGGTTTCTAACAAGTGCCTAAATGCCACTTCAGAAGTCGTCAAGGTACATTAAACCATCACACTGAATAGGAAAACTTTAGATTTTTACTTCGATTAGGCTTCAAAAGTTCATTTGTGAAGATCATCACAGAACTTATTTTGTGCAATAATCCAAAAGACAATGGAAAAATCCTATTTGCTTTTTGTTGAGAAAACCAGTGTGATGCGAACTTCTGGGTTGACCTACAAAAAACCAAATAATAATAACGTTCTCCCTGCGGCTCTCTATAGAGAGGGGGAACTATGACGTCAGTTTGTAGGCAGATCGGCTGTTAGCATGACACTGGTTCCCTCGACAAAAAGCCTATAGGATTTTTCCATAGGCTTTTGGATTAGTGTTCAACCATAGTTCATGAAACTTGCACGTTGTGTCCATCAAGATAATCTTCACAAAATAATAGAACTTTGATGAATTTTGAAGCCTAAATAAAAGTGCCAGAACTTAAAAACTAAACTTAGGCTATAAACGAACTACAGCACCACGGTCGCTCGCCTTCAGCGTCACCACCACCACGCTTCCCACAACTTTTTCAAACTTATTTTTAACGTGTTCAGTGAAAAAGATTTACTCTGTATATGAATTTTAATCCACGCTACACAAACCTTTTCATATAAACTGGAATAAATACAAAACTAGAGCCAAACTAAAACTGAAATGAGACATTAATAATAAATAGTATAGTGAATAAATGAAATAATCATGACTAATAGACATATGAAAGCACGTATTTCTGTACATTTTGAAATAAGGTGCATTAAAAGTCAATAAATCCTTGATTAATATGAATATTTTAATTAAAAACGTGTCTCCACGTACTATTCAATAAAATTCTAGTGCATTTAATTTATTAAATAACAGCAGAGTGAACGAGTTTTTGGGTATGGTAAGATTAAACTTATTTTAGTGGATAAAGTACCACATTTCAGCGATCATTTTGTTAGGATGGGTACACAAAATGTTATTTTATCCTTGCTTCTAGGAAATCCTCATATGCTTTCTAACGGGGCTGTAAACATTTAAATTTAACGTGGCTTTAAGCACTATGCATCGTTAAAGTTTCACTTTCCCCGTCACTAAACCGGTAAACGTGGTGTTTACATGGAATAATCGTAATACGAGTTTACCTTATGGTCTCCGCATCAGTAGGAAAGCGATAAAACGAGCATCTTTCATCCGAAGACTTGTGTTGCATTTCGGGGGGAAACAAAAAAACATTGTCAACCAACAATATAAAATGCGGGAAACTATTAATTGGTTATTCTACAATTAATTGTATTACAAATTATACTACCACTGGAAAATACTGTAAACTGATAAACTGTTCGGCGTGATGACGTTGAATGTCTCCGGCAGCGCCTGTAGTCCCATTTAGCAACTTGTTAGCAACCGTCTTTTTTAAGAAACGTAACCGTTTAAAAAAAATCACGAGTGGGGTGTAACTGGTGTGTTTTATGTCGTAGAATAAAACGTGAAAGTATCTTGAGCCTGTGTGAACCATGGACCTTATTTTAGGGATTTAACCAAATCCCATTCGAAAACCCCATTGACTCTGGGACGATGGAACCGGAAGTGCTAAAATGCTAACTCGCTTGCGGGTTTTTGCCTACAAAGTGACATCATAGTTCCACCACTCTGTTATACTTCAGCCAGTGATTATTATATTTCATATTAACTCTTCCCCCCCGCCAGCATTTTTGAAAAAAGTTGCCAGCGATTTTGATGATTTTCACTCAAATTTGATGGCCTCCAGTACATTTTGCTGTATGAATATGCAATACACCAAAATAAAGATCAGAGCCTTTACTTTTAAACAAAAAAATCTGCTTAAAGCATTCCTTTTTTATCAACACTTGAATATAGGTAGGTTTCATAAAAATGAATAATTTTGAGCAAAAAGGTGAGAATCACATTTTTATCAAAAACTACATCTGGATAATATTCAGTATGATTATCAAAGCATAAATCCAGTAAATCGCACAGACATATACCACTTCCTGGATCAACAATTTACTCCGTAACATTATGCAGTTTTCATTTATATGCTGTCTATTTCTGATGATCGCATTATTTTTCATATGCATCTGTTTACTTAAAGAGATCGCTAGTTTCTCCATCCTGTTCATGTGTGTTTTTGTTCGGGAGGTTTTGTACTCGTTCAGAAGATGTGTAATAACGCCCCCGAGAGAATAACAGTGAAAACACGAAAAGCCGTAAAAACTCGTCTTTGGCAGGGAAGCGTTTTCTTCTAAAAGACGAGATAACTCGTCAATGGCGGGGAAAGAGTTAACCTTCGTGAGGTCTGTGCATCCAAATGATTTAGTTTTACTAATTGAAATATTTACTTGGGAGATCGCAGGTGCGCATGCGTGACCAAAATAAAATCAATTCATTTGCGTACCAACATGGTTGGCAGCTGTTAATGCACAATTACGATTTTAGATCGACACGCTGTAATACTGTAAGATTTCTATGCGAACTGAAAGCATAAATCTAGGCTATCCGCTGCCGTTTTCAAAACACAATGCAAAACTGTGACATTTCATTCACTGATTGATGCTCGTTACTCGGCAGCGCATATACTTGCTCTCCGGCAGCCCGCCAAAATAAAAGCTTGCTGATTTTAAGTTAGAAAAGGATAAATTCATTCATTCATTGACTGCTTGTAATGGCGAATCACAGCAAAACCGAGAGAAAGAGAATGGTTGCAAGGAATGTGTTGCTTTGGAATGAGGTTGTTTAGAGCTCTTTCTTTTTGCTGCAGATGTGCTCTAAACATGGGACAGATTTCCTGGAGTATAAATGTCGTTACTGTTGCTCTGTGGCTGTGTTCTTCTGCTTTGGGACGACACATTTTTGCAACGCCTGTCATGATGATTTCCAGAGGATGACCAGTGTCCCAAAAGAAGAGCTGCCTCATTGTCCTGCTGGTAAAACACTTCATACATGTTATAAGACAAGTGCTTGCATTAAAACTTCCCACCACCATGTTTGGTTTGTCTGAAACGCATGTATCATCCTTCTCTTGTTGAATCAGGCCTTTGTTTAATGAAAAGCTGTTATTGAAATTGCTTAAGCCAGCAAACTGACAAGACAACATGTTGACTTCATTTTCATTCTTTCCTCACAGGACCAAAAGGAAAACAGTTAGAAGGAAGCGAGTGTCCCCTGCATGTGGTACATCCTCCCACCGGAGAGGAGTTCGCCCTGGGCTGCGGCGTGTGTAGAAATGCCCATACCTTCTAAATGCAAGAGTCCTATAATGATCTCTATATATATATATATATTCACCCTCCTGTGGCGGCCGACTCCTTCTTCAGCGCAGCCCGAGAGCAGATACAGCGGACGTCCCATTCTGAGGGGGCTGTGACGGGCTGCTGTGCACCAGGGTGCATCCCTACCCTCTCTCTTTAGATGCTGAAGAATGAAAAAAAATAACAAAAAAAATAAATAACGTTGTGACGTGTTTGCATGCAGCCGTTGTAACCCTGCGGCTTGTATAAACGTTGCACACCTCCTGACCACTGAAGGGTAACAATGTATGGAGGATTTTGGGATCCGAGACCACCACGGATGGGCCATGATTTCAGCTTCTCGAATACAAATGTAAGATTCTATTGTTGTATGTAAACGGACTTTGTTTTCGTAATCCTGTACAGTATTCCTTCACTTTGGAGTGCATCATGGTTTGACGGCTAAAGATTCAAATGCTATAAGAGGACTTTAGAATGTGATGCTGGAGGAAAATAGTGTACGATTGATCTAATCTTGTATATAATGACAGTAACCCTTCATATGTGTATCCCGACGTTGCTACTCTACTCTACACTTCAGTTTTGTTTGATATTCTGGGTTATGTTTTGAGCCAGAACTTTTAATGAAGTGCAATACTGGGCGTGCCTCCTCGCAGATGTAAACATATGGAATGTATGCCAATAAAGCCACTGTACATTTTTATACAGTGATACACACACTGTTGTGTTTTCCCCGGCAAGTGTGCCATCATTTCTGTAGTCAGAACCTTATCGAGGGGCTTGTTGTCTGCGGTGTCTGCGCTGTTGTCTCAATGACGTGGTATAAACCCCCTTTTTCTGTCAAGGTGAGTATGTTTTGCTTTTGTATTGTAAGAACACGTCTCCTTGGGGCCAGTCTTCACACCAAATCAAAGGACCGTGAGGCAAAACAAGATATATATTAGAAATTGTGGCTATTTAATGGTTGTTTTGGAGGCTTGCAGGAAGGATTGTTGGGGGGGGGGGGGGATTAACAGCTGCTGTAAAAGACAAAAAAATGCAACTTGTGAATCTGCTTTGTATTATTATCTGTGGATGGAGCTGAGTAGTAATAATAAACAGGGTTCTCTGTTAAGCAAGGTACATTCCAAAAGGAGCGTTCTCTGTGCTTTTCTTTCATTTCTCACTCACTCCTGAAACATGCAAGCTCGAAAATGAAAGTCTGTGGCGGGCAGATCTTGGTGACCCGAACGTCGTTTCTCACACGGTACGTCTAAAGAGGTGTATTTCCTGAAATAGCTTATTTGGGTACATTTAAGTTTTGGTTTTGGTTTAGGCATAAAATATATGCCGCGTCAGAGGGACCTGAAGGCCACTATCAAAGCAACCTGGGCTTCCGTACCACCTCAGCAGTGCCACAGGCTGATTGTCTCCATGCCACGCCGCACTGATGCAGTAATTCATGCAAAAGGAGCCCCTACCAAGTATTGAGTACATGTACAGTAAATTAACATACTTTCCAGAAGGCCAACAATTCACTAAAAATGTTTTTTTATTGGTCTTATGAAGTATTCTAATTTGTTGAGATAGTGAATTGGTGGGTTTTTGTTAAATGTGAGCCAAAATCATCACAATTACAAGAACCAAAGACTTAAACTACTTCAGTCTGTGTGCACTGAATTTATTTAATACACGAGTTTCACAATTTGAGTTGAATTACTGAAATAAATGAACTTTTCCACAACATTCTAATTTATTGAGATGCACCTGTAGTTGGCACATCAGTTTTCTTTCTGCTGTGTGCAGGGTTGCCAGGTTTTCACAACAAAGCCCGCCCAAACGCATTCCGGGGGGCTAAATACAAATTTTTGGTAGGGTTCCCCTGGTAAAATTAGCACTCTAGGGGCTAAATATCGCGTTATTGGGGTCGGACATGATAAACAACCTGCAGCAACAGTGTTAAAATAGCCCAGACAGCTCCGTGGGAATACTGCGGACTTGGCAACACTGGTCTTTTCGCTCACACACTAACAAACAGCCAATCACAATCCAGAATCCAAAACAGATGTGAGAAAGCCAGCCAATTGGAATTTATATGTAAATATACTCCGGTACTTTGAATAGACGTGATGTAAGGTGATTTTCTATTTTTTTTCTTCTTCATATAATATAAATATAAATATACTTCATATATTTATGTTCAGTTCTTTCACTTTAATAGCATAGAAAAGTACCTATACATTGCCATTAAATTAAAATGACTGAACCTAAATATAGGAGCCTGATAAAAATGATAATTTCAGAAGAAAAAATTTCAGACGGCACTTAGAGGCTTTTTTCATCTGAACTCTTCAATTGTTCATTTGTGATCCACCTTATTAGTAGCTTGTGCCTGCGATTGTTGATCAGTTAGTACACTGCAAGAAAAATGTCTAGAACATTTACTAGTCATTTTCCAGGACATTATCCATACAATGCATAATTTAAAATGCAGGTAAAAAAACTGAAAAATAAATACGGAAAATTCCTTCATATTAATAAATAGACTGTGCCCTATTTTTACAGATATTTTCTTAGAATGCAGCATAATAACTAACTGCTAATACACTGCTTAAAACTATAATGGTTCAGAATGTGTAGTTTACTAGCTACAAAAAAACAACAACTTTAATTGTAGGCCCTAATTGTTCAAAAATGTGTAAGTGTTCAATAATTCAATGTTGTATTTAAAAAATACAGTTAATATTATATGGTGTTATGTTATATTTTACAAACACGTCTAAATGAACACACACAAAATATTTTCTTAATATTCTATGCAATTTTTAGCAACAAATTGACCTTCCCTTAGCAACTTCCCCTGAAAATTAATTGGCAACACTGTTTGAAAGCACAATAATAATAACATTTGTCACGTGGTGCGTGCTACCTCTCTCTGCGTGCAAACACAGTTTCTGTGGTGAGCTGTTGTATGAAGGGTTCGGCTTTCTGAGCCGCTGTGTGTGCGCCCCCTGGAGGAAGAGGCCGGTCATACACAGCAGGCAGCCGCTCACGCTCGACAACAGCACCGCCATGTCCGGCGGCGGGGACGCTGAAGTCTCCCGCGGTATAGAGCTCAGCGAGAAGTAGGGCAACCTGCAACATCGCCGAGACGCACGCACTCAGACTCCAACAACGTAAAACGACATAAATTCAACCCATTCGTGTCCAATGCGTGTCCCCTGCGCCGCTCTCATGTGTTCCGGTCCCGGTCCGGGCTGACATTCAGACGAGTCAGGATTTTGCCTATTTTTCCACTGTTTGCATTTGCTACTTTACATGAGTAACACGCAAAACAGGTAATTGTTAACGTTTATTTGGAGCAGCGCAGCAAGGCTGTTGTTGGTTTGATCTAACTAGATCACTCTCTGTGACTAAATGCATGAGTGCAGTGTGTTTATTGGGTTAATGAAGTGTTTGTTCATGCGTGATATCTCATGCATGGCACTTCAGTTGCTTATATTAATTGAAAGCATTGGTTGCTGGTTAGTCTCGAGTATAACGTACATGGAATTTGTTTATAATTGCATTAAAGCAGTTTTAACTCGTTTTCAGGAAAGTTCAAAAGCCATTTAAACGTGATAAACGTAGCAAACCCTGTAAAATAAACTTGTTTTAGGATGCATGTTTGCATCTGCCACTGTGTATACCTCTAATACTTCACAGCTCTCTCAGGCCCCCAAGAATGAAAAGGTTGAGCAGAGAGTGCGAGGGGCCGGCGGACTCCTGCAAGAGGGCCAGACAGCCCGCCGAGGACCCTGGAGATCTGCTGTCCAACTGGGCTCGACTGCCACAGGAGATCCTGCTTCACATCTTCCAGTACCTGCCTCTCCTCGATCGCGCCTTCGCCTCGCTGGTCTGCCGCGGCTGGAATCAGGCCTTCCACATGCCCGAGCTGTGGAGGTGCTTTGAGTTTGAGCTCAACCAGCCTGCCAGCTCTTACCTGAAGGCCACTCATCCTGACCTAATAAAGCAAATCATCAAGAGGCACTCCAATCATTTACAGTACGTCAGCTTCAAGGTGAGAGGCTCAGCGGGAAGCTGACAGTTACCAGCTGGCTCCACATTACAGCTCACAAATCATGCCGAACTTAAAGGGACAGCTCACCCAGAAATAAAATTTCTGGCAAAATGTACTGACTCAAATCATGTCGTTTCAAACCTGTATGACTTTCTCTTTTTTAGGGATGCACGATATATCGGCCACCATATCGGTATCGGCCGATAAATGCTCATTTTTTCTGTTATCGGTATCGGCCCGATAAGAAAATGTTGCCGATATCTTAAAGCCGATAAATAATGCATTATTTCCTTCAGAGACACTTCAGATGCGCGCTGTTCGTTTGCAGCCTTTTGTGCAATTGTACATTGTAATATTGTGTTTATTTGATGTATATCTGATTTATCTCATATAGAATGCGTTTGGTTAAGTTAAAAGAGCGCTTCAGTTTACCGGTGATCGTCTTTAGCTCAGCGCACGCAGCTCAAACAGCAGTGCACAACATTAATAACTATGATTGGGAATGTCGTGTATATAACATTCTAATGAGAACATTATTATAATAAAACATTCTGAATTCTTTGGGTTTAGTTGCTTTGTTTTCACACACAGGATCACACATTCTGACTATAGCACGCAATAACTGCGTCATTTTGTACATATATAAGTTGTAATATTATGTTTATGTTGTATTAATATTAATCTCAGGATGCATTTCCTTGAGTTAAATAAGCTGCCAGCAAAATGCTTCAGTTTACCGTGTTCATTCAGCTCTTCAGCACGTGCAGCTCAACGGCTGCTATTTAAAACAGTGGTATTAATTTGTTACTTTTTCAAAATCATCGATACATTATTAATAACAACAACCACTTGTATTTTTCTCTTATTATTTTTCATCAACAATATGGTTTAGCTTCTAATGATGATAACTTTTTTGTAATCAGGCTCTCAAAAAGTATATAACAATTTGGATATAGATTTATCGGCCAACATATCGGTTATCGGCTTTCAAAAATAAAGAATTATCAGTTATCGGTATCGGCCAAAATGTTCATATCGGTGCATCCCTACTCTTTTTTTTTTTTTTCTTGCAGAGCATTAAGATATTTTGAAGAATGCTGGTAACCAAACAGTTCTGGTTTCTGATGGATTGCAATGGTAACCAACACTTGGTCAACTTTGGTTACCAGCGTTCTTGAATATGTCTTCTTTCATCATACAGGCTTAAAACAATGTGATTTGGCTAAGAAATGTCATTTTTGGGTGAACTATGCCTCCCAAAAATGACAGTTTTGGCATCATTCACTTGCCCAAATCATGCCCAAGACATTCGTTCATCTTCAAAATACTAATGAAAATATTTTAATAAAACCTGAGAGATTTCCTGTCCCTTCTTTGAAATCTTCAAATCACGAATCGATGTGATTTAAACCAAGTCTTCTGAAGAGACGATCACTTTATATGACGAACAGATTTAATTTAGGCTGTTGTTTGCATATAATCACTGATCAATGCACCTGCATAGAGCTCATCAGATATGGTAGAAATGATATACTTGTTAGATACAATGAATATGATGGGCTTAGATTAAACCACTCCATGGTTTGGTGTGGATTACTTATATGATGTCTTGATAAACTTTTTCAAGCCTTAAGGTTTTGGCTGCATGGACTTTCAATGTAGGGACGGAAATCTCTTAGGCTTTCATTAGAAATGTATCGGTGTTTCAAAGATGAATGAAAATCTCGTGGGTTTGTCATGAGGGTGAGTAAATGATGACAGAATTTTATTTTGCATTGTAAGTGCACCTAAAAAAAAAATAGGTGATATAAATACATAGATGTATTTTAGATGTGTAGACTTGCATTAATAAAAAAATCAGTAGATGTGTGTATAACGGCTATTTTACAGTAACTCCGAACACTGCTGGTCTGATCAGTAGTCGAGTTGCTGGAGCTGATGCGAAGCGCGTGTGGTCTGTGTGCACAGGTGGACAGCAGTACAGAGTCAGCGGAGGCTGCGTGTGACATCCTGTCTCAGCTGGTCAACTGCTCTCTGAAGACCCTTGGGCTGATCTCCACTGCACGGCCCAGCTTCATGGAGCTGCCGAAGGTATCAGGACGTGTGTTTTGGCTGAGCTGTGTGTTGGGGTGATGGGTCGGCTGGTTTCCTGATGTCTGATTGTTTCCTCTCTTCAGTCGCACTTCATCTCTGCACTAACCGTGGTGTTTGTCAACTCCAAGTCTCTTTCGTCTCTGAAAATTGACGACACGCCAGTAGATGATCCTTCGCTCAAAATCCTGGTGGCCAACAACAGTGACACACTCAAGCTGTTAAAGATGAGCAGCTGCCCACATGTTTCTCCTGCAGGTATGACTTACTCATCTGCCGCTGTAGTTATTTGAGGAACTTTGATTTAAAAAGGTTAAATATTAATATCAATAAGTTTAATAATTGACGACTTTATCTTAATGCAAGAATAGTCTGAAATAGACACAATACTGTTTAATGTAGCTTGCACAGAACTGGATAACCAACATGTAAAATCCTGCTACATAAGTTTATTAAGGCAATTTTCATAATACGACTTGCTGCATTGTGGTTTTGTCAGTTGATTTCTCAAATGACACATTCATTTTGCTGTTAGTAGTGTTGCCTTAGAAATGCATAAGTCTGAGGTTGAACAGCTTTGAGTTGAACGTCCGGCTTGTCATCTAGTAATTATGGTGAATACAACATGCCACGAAAGCACCAATTCTCTTATGTTCTCTCTTGTTTTGTGATGCAGTCAACATTGATTTCAATGCTGCAGTATCTCCATTTGAGTGGAAGCGGAAAGATTTTCAGTGAATAACCACTTAAATTTAGGTCCGTTCCTCTCACAACGACTTGAAATGTAGTGCACGAGTCATACAAACATAGGCTTTTTATGCCATTTTTGCAACCTGATATTCACAGTGCATAGTCACTATTATTCACTTGATAAAAGAGCAGGTCAGTATTGTGTATGACTAAGTCATATGGATTTGGGACAACATGAGACAACACGACACAATTTTGATTTAAGGTTAACTTTTAAATCATCTGAAAAATCAATATTAAAAGAATGGTTCACCCAAAAATGAAAATTGGCTGAATTTACTCACCCTCAGGCCATCTGAGATGTAGATTAGTTTGTTTCTTCATCAGAACAGATTTGGATAAATGTAGCATCACGTCACTTGCTCACCAATGGACCATGTGCAGTGAATGGGTGCCGTCAGAATGAGAGTCCAAACAGCTGATAAAAACATCACAATAATCCACAAGAAATCCAGTCACACTTCCATTCTGCCACTCTTTTTTTTAATGAAATTATATTGATGTTTCTTTTGTCAGAGGTTGATATGTAATTAGATCGAACAACTGTGTTTGTGCTTAATAGTGCATGGACCTTAGTCAGACTCTGTATTATTTGTAGTGTCTAGGTGAAAGCCATCAGTCTGCTGTTGTTGCAGGTATTCTGTGCGTCGCTGATCAGTGTCACGGTCTGAGAGAGCTGGCTCTGAACTATCACTTACTGAGCGACGAGCTGCTGCTGGCGCTCTCCTCCGAGAAGCACGTGCACCTCGAGCATCTGCGCATAGATGTGGTGAGCGAGAACCCCGACCAGCAGTTCCACACCATCAAGAAGAGCAGCTGGGACGCCATGGTGCGCCATTCGCCCAAAGTCAACCTGGTCATGTACTTCTTCCTGTACGAGGATGAGTTTGGGCCTTTTTTCCGCGACGAGATCCCCGTTACGCACCTCTACTTCGGCCGCTCTGTCAGCAAAGAGGTCCTGGGCCGCGTGGGCATGAATTGTCCACGTCTGGTGGAGCTGGTGGTGTGTGCCAATGGTCTGCGGCCGCTGGACGAGGAGCTGATCCGTATCGCCGAACGCTGCCAGCACCTGTCGGCCATCGGACTGGGCGAGTGCGAGGTGTCCTGCAGCGCTTTCGTGGAGTTCGTGAAGATGTGTGGCCGCCGTCTCTCTCAGCTCTCCATCATGGAGGAGGTGCTCATCCCAGACCACAAATACAGCCTGGATGAGATCCACTGGGAAGTGTCCAAGCACCTCGGGCGCGTTTGGTTTCCAGATATGATGCCCACCTGGTGAAGTGTTGTTCAGAAGACCATAAAAAGTAATCGGACTTTGGTAATATGGACTCTGTGGGTTTTTTTTGCGTGAGTTTCGCAGTTGCTTCACAAGGTTTGTACATAGATTTGATTTGAGATCTATATTCTCACACTGCTATAATGAATGTGGACCGTTGTAAAGGGACAGTTTACGCAGAAATGAAAATGTTATTATTTACTCACCCTTAAGTCCTTTCAAATATTGATGATCATCTTCTGTGGAACACGAAAGAAGATTTTGAAGAATGGTGGGGAAAAAAAAATATATATATATATATTCATATTCCACAGAAGAAAGTCATACAGGTTTGTAGAATGACAGGAGGGTGATTAAAGGATTTTACATTTTTTGAGTGAACCATTTCTTTAATGGCATGTTGTGGCAAATATCCATTTCATGAGTCTTATAAAAAATGTCATAATTTACCTTAAGACACTAAACATCATAATTATACTGAATTAGATGGTGCATCAAAAAGAGATGAAGCCCATGGACCATTAATATTTTTACCATAAATAACAATTAAGCATTTTTCCCGTTATTCTCAATATCATCTCTGAGATATGGTTTGATTTTATTAATTCCATTAGATTCTCATTACTGTAATAAAGTAATTGTTACAGTTCTGTTGTTATTGAATCAGCATAAAGGCAGCACAACAAAATCCACTATGATCTATAAATTTAATACTGCCAGGACCTAAATATTTCACAATGCAAAAGTAAATAAGATTAATCTTATTTGTGAAAAATAGCTTTTGTATTTTTGATTTTTGAGGTGTAGTATAATCTGGACATTTTGTAAGATTTACCAATTTATCTTTTTTGGAAGCTTTCCTCTTGACATTTCCTAAAGCTAAATATTTTCAGCATGTTGCTCATATTTAGGTGTAGCAGGGAAGAGGGTGCAGAATAATAAAAATAACAGCATACTTTCACGGTCTTAGGTATGTCAGAGAGGAAAGAAATGAAAGCATCAGTGTTTGGCTCACAGCACACTTGTGTCCCAAAATTTGGAAGAAAATAGTAAAAGAATTTTAGGGACACAATGAAGCGTTGATTGGTTTCTATTAGATTGCATGAAGAATGCTGTGCAATGACACACTGAATGGGATGTGACCGTATAATGAATGAATTAGTCTGGATATGCAGACAATGCTTGATTTGGCTGCGTTAGCATGCACTCCTTTGTTTCAGTTCAATATGAGTCAGTATTGGAGTGAACACAGTCTCCTTTAAGAAGGAAGTCCCACGTGTCTGTATATAAAATGCTGTGTGTTTGATATAAATAGAAATACTTCTTTCTCGCGCACCCTCTGTGGAGGTTTGACGTGTATCTGTGCTGATCTCTTTCAGACGAGTGGGAATTACTCCTCGATGGATCTTTGTACCCTTGTAATTAGAGATGATCATCAGTGTAATTTATTGATATACTTTTTAAAATTATTAATCTGCTTGTATTGATAGTTTAGCTTCGAGTGAGATGCTCCATGATTTATATGCATATTATATCATTTATAAAAAGTCAGTAGCATGTAATAGTTTTTCTTTGCCCATTATCCAGAATTAAAGCTGTTTTAGCTTTTGCACATTTTTGTAGCAACTAAATTAAGTAAACTAAGGTACCTGCCAGCATTTGAAAGTGAAATATTCTCGAAAATGATCATAAAGAGAAGCCACAACCCAGTAGTTCACATACAAATAATAAAAAGGCACGCGCTAGGCTTTAGTCGGCGCATAGCTTGCCAATTTGAAACACACAAAAACGTTGTTAGACTGACTTTTTGGAAGTGCAAGCTGAGCGTTACATCAACTCGGTGTAAACCAGAGCTTAGAAAAATGTACAAATAGCAATGTTTCTGAAGCAAGTGAGCATATTGCTTGTATTGCGAATATGAAAGCATCACATTTCTTTTGCGTTGTAAAAACATCAACATTGTCTTTTATTGAAATAAGGGTGAATAAACAGTGTGAAAAATTGTGTGGGTGTTTTACAGATCATTTATTCATAAATGTGCTGTACAACAACAAAATGTTAAAAATTGTTTGCGTTAGTGTAAGTTAACACATCTGATAAATCAGACATCATCTGGAATGGAAATAGAAAATTTAAAATGCAATTTTATTTAGTAGCAAAATCAATTTGATGTTTTTTTAATATTGTTGAAGAATAAAGAATATGGTGGTTATGGCAAAGGAATCTCCTCGTAGTTTATTTTAATGTAAGGATATTTCATCGGCAGCTTCCAATATTCAGAGTTGTAGTAGAAATAGAAGGTCTTCTCTAGGACCATCTTTTCCAAAGCCTCCAGCAGACTCTCAATCACTTCTACGACTGACTGGTGAGAGCGGAACGAGTGGTAGAACTTCTTGATGTCTGTGGCGAGATCTCGCGTGGAAGACTGTTGAAAGATGGAGTCGTCTCCCAAATGCAGCGGCTCTCCGCTGTACAGATAGATCTTGGTGTAAGATGTGGGAGTTTGGCTGGACAGGTCGGCACCCATATCCAGTAATTTCTTATATGTGCGGTGCACAAACTGAGAACAATCATACGACTCAAACCACGTTGTGGCGTTCGCACCAGCATCTGACTTTACTGTCCAAGTCTCGTAATAAACACCCGTTTCGTTGTCCTCCTGAACCCAACGAGCCATCTCATTGAACATCTCACCTGATAAAACAAAAATATAACATCTTAATTCAACAGAAAACACATGGCAATGAAGATGAAGTGAGAGTTTCAGGCTCCAATATTCTTATATTTAATGCTCATGATATTTTATATTTTAAATTTTGCTAATGTAAATACGTCAGCAATGTAATGGTATCTAGCTAGTTTACATATGTCTTTTTTGTTGTTTGTTTTTCATTATAGTTTACCATTTTTCATGTGAAATGTAAGAGTTTAAGATTGTAAGAATATAAGATTGTAAAATTGCCACAATTACTGGTTTTATTCCAAATTGAAAAATTATTAGTTGTTTTGTTATATTTTTTTTGGGGGGGGGGATATATCTTTTCTTTTTTTCAGACAAAATATTAATGATATAATGTAATTTATTCCTGTGATGCAAAGCTGAATTTTCAGCATCATTACTCCAGTCTTCAGTGTCACAGATCATAATAGGCTGATTTGCGGCATAATTATTATTGGTGCTCAGTTATTAGTAAGGGTTCTTATTATTTTCTATGTTAAAACTGTTGCTTCTTAATATTTTGTGGGAACCTTTTTTTCAGGATTCTTTTATAAATAGAAAGTTCAAAAGAACAGCTTTATTTAAAAAAAAAAAATCTTTTGTATCATGTTTGCTGAATAAAAACATTACGTTCGAATAAAAACGCAAAACAATTTTGAGCACATAAATGCAGCCATGGTGAGAAGTAGCGAGTTCATTAAGGTGTCCTTGTTTCAGTGTAATTATACATATAAGTACTGAGTAATATTAATTACATGTACTTTCTATATGGTTAGGTTTAGGGTTACTTGCATGTAATTATGCATAATTAATTTTTATTATAATAGTAAGTACATGTAACAAGGACACCTTAAAATAAAGTGTTACTATATTTTGCAATGAAATTACGTAATTCTGTTACATGTAACTAGTTACTCCCTAACACTGATTATTTTGTGTAATGATATACAGTACTTGTCAAAAGTTTGGAAACATTAAGATTTTTATGGTTTTAAAATAAAGTGTAACCCAAAATAAATGTAATTGTAATTGGTTACAGTTATTGAGAATGTGTAATTAAGTTAGTTACTTATGAAAATGTTAACGATTAAAAAGGGGGTTACATCTGAATTTTTTTTCCACACACACACACACACAGATATAATTGATTTCTTTAATAAATTGCAGTGGCTGCTCTAAAATATGAGACACCAATGTCTCAGGAGATTAGTACAGAGAATAGGACACATGCTTATTCGATAACGGTTCTATTTCCGATTTGGGTTTATACTTGATTTTTTTTATACAGTTTTTTCCAAGTCACTGTTAGATTCCAGTGTTTCCGGTCATTGCTCTGCAAAGATTTGACTTTAAAAACAGCATCATAGCTGTTAAACTATTTTCTTATTATGCTTTTAAATCTGTATTTAACCCCAGAATGATCTCAAAGTAAGTCTGATTTTGTGTTGGCTCTGCTTTACAATTAAATTATTATAACCTTAATTCAAGTGATGAAGGATTTTGAAAGTCGGACAGTAACTACAACCCCAATTCCAGAAAAGTTTAGACGTTTTGTGAAATGCCATAAAATCAAGAATGTTCTAATATTTCACTGGCCAACTTGATATTATCTTGTAAATAAGCACATTTTTATTTTGATGGCTGTAACACATTCCAAAAAAGTTGGGACAGAGGCATGTTTAACTGTGTCACATTAACTTTCCTTTTAATTACAATGTTTAATTGTTTGGGAATTGAGGATACTAATTGTTAAGGTTTTGCAAGCAAACGTTTTGTCCAGTCTCACTTGATACAAGACTTCAGATACTCAGCAGTATCATGTCTGATTCTCCTTTTCATGACTGGACATACATTTTCAATAGGAGACAGATCTGGACTGCAGGCAGGCCAGTCTAGCACATCCTCTCTGTGTCTATGAAACTACACTGTTGTAGCATGTAGAATGAGAGCTGGCATTGTCTTGATCTAATATGGACTTCCCATGAAAGACGTCAACTTGATGGCAGTATATGTCTCTGTACAATCCCAATATATGCCTCCATGTCAGTGGTACCTTCGCACATACAGTATGCCAGTCACCCGTGCCGTTTGCTCTGCTGCAGCCCCATACCATGACAGACGTTTGGCTTTTGCATCTGTCGCTGGTAAAAGTCTGGATGGTCCCTTTGGTCTTTGCGACTGAGAACTTGATGTCCATTTTTTCCAGACCCTCATCTTCTTTTTGACTATCTGAGATGAGCTCCGGCCCAGAGAACCCTGTAGCATCATTGCATAGAATTGATGTATAGCTTTCTCCTAGAGTAACAGAGATTCAGGTTGCATTTATTGTGTTAAGTGACAGTGGTTTTCCGAAGTACTCCTGAGCCCATGTGGCTATATTTAACACCGCAGCATTCTTATGCAATGCCATCTGAGGGCTCAAAGGTCATGCACATTCAACTGAGGTTTCCTGTTTTGCTCTAAACAGACAGATTTCTCTGGATTCCCTGAATCTTTTCACAATATTACAGTATATGGAAGTTAGTGAAAGACCTAAATTCTTTGCAATTTTGCATTGAGAAATGTGATTTATGATTCATTTGATACTTCTTTCATGAAATTTGGCACAAAGTGATGAGCCATGATCCAGCTTTGCTTGCAAACACAGAGATGCTCCTTTTATACCCAAACATGACACTCATAGAAATACATTGCATGACATCCGTTTAAGTCAAATTATTGAAACATGCCAAGGAAGATGAATATAATGTAAAATATCTACAGCTCTAAAATGAGGGAATTTACTTTAATATTCTTTTGTTTTTATTTCAGGAGTGCCTTTTACAGAGGTGTCACCAGCGAGCTGCCTGACCTCTCAGTGGCTGAGCTGTTATAGGACTTTGTATAGCACTACATCAGGATGTTCGGTGAGGATTCTTTGGTGGATTCAGCCTTTGGAAAAGTTTCGGCTGGGAGTGTATTGTCATAGCAGCAGAAACAACCTGCAACATCACTCACCATCAAAATGCCACTTGTTGGTTACAGCCTTAACCCATCCGTCTGCTTGTTTGTCCATAGCGAACGTTTTTTTGTATATACACAATGTTTGCATTGCCACAGAGCAGGTAACAAAGTCATTTATATGTACATGTTTGTATTACTGCAGTTCAGGTAACATTGTATCAAAGTTGTTTATGTTCCCATCACGATATTGCAGATAACACCAGAGTATCGAATTTAGTTATATTTACATTATCCACATTTGTACAAATAAATGCACATTTATCCCTCCACAATTTCTATACTAAATATGATTTTATTTAATATATCGTGCTGTTCTATTGTGTTGTTGTGAAGAGTGTGAGTAGCTAAGGGTACGAACAAAGTCTTTCTCTTCGATACGTCGCTTGTATTATGGGCGTTGTGTTGAACAGGAGTAGATGTTCTATGACTGTTAATATTTAAACTTTCAGAAAGCAATAACTAGAATGAGATGTTATATAGTTTTATGTTTATAACAATACTCATTTAGAAAATACTAACTAGTTTTTGTTCACAATACGTCAAGAAAGAGTTCTGCCGCTGGCACACTTCGCTATATGGAAGAGAAGTCGCTGGCTGAGATTCTCCCGGAAACACGTAAGCGCAGCGTTCGTGCATAGAGTCTATTGAGGATATTCTTTTATTTTGCCTCTGTCCCAAATTTTTTTTGGAGTGCGCTGCAGCCACGAAAATCAACATTTGTTTATATTTACAAAATACATTTAAGTTGGTCAGTGAGCACTTTGGAAATATTTTCCAAAAAAAAAAATTTTTTTTTTAAAACAGGATTCTTGATTTTATTGCATTTCACAAAACTACCCAACTTTTCTGGAATTGGGGTTGAGGTGTTGAGCTCTACTGCAAGCTTAACCCTGCCTGGTTTAAATGTTTGAAAATGACCAACAGTAGAAAACAATAGAAATTTAGAAAAGTAATCCAACGTAATCAGTTACATTACTTTATTAAAGTAATTGAAATAGTTACACTACTTCTTACATTTTAAACAGGATAACGTGTAATCTGTAACCTATTCCATTTCCAAAGTAACCTTTGGAAAATAATCGTGTTCACGTGTAAACTGAGTGTCTGCCAGCCTTACCCGAAATCTCTCCTATCTTCTCCAGAGAGCCGTTCTGCTTCCAGTGAACGTCATCGATCTCGTCATAGAAGCACGCGGCTCCCTGATTGCACCAGAAGGGCGCGCTCACGCCCGCTCTCTCGTGAGGAAAAGTGCAGTTTCCCAGCTGAAACAGCTCGTACCACTCCATGGTGAAGTTTCTCCCCGTTTTTGCGCTTCCAAAGCCAATGGCATCATGCATGATGTGCTGAACAGAGCAAGACTTTCGATTAGACTCAACCCAACGGACTCTACAGGAGAGCGCTGTGCTGTTGAGCGCGCGCACTCACAAACTTTCCCAAGACGTCTCCGTATCTGAACTCCCACACCGGAGTCTGCAGCCTGAAGACCGAGACGAGGTCGGAGTCTCTCATGACGGGCATCCGGCCGTCTGGATCTCCGCTCGGGCAGAACGGGAATAAAGCCTGGCAGTAGGGATCAACATCTGGACGGCGGTCAAGTCGCCTAGAAATTGATATGAATTGTGGGTTGGTGGATATAACGTGTATTAATATTCATGAGAATAAAGTACCGGAGATGTAAATGCATAACTTACATGTAAGAAATCATTAGTTAAAACATTCCTATAGTGGGATTAATGCACACTACCAGTCAAAAGTTTTTGAACTAAGATTTTTTTATGTTTTTTTTTAAAGATTTCTCTAATGCTCACCAAGCCTGCATTTATTTGATTCAAAATACAGCAAAAGCAGTAATATTGTGACATATTATTCCAATTTTAAATAACTGCTTTCTATTTGAATATATTGTTAAATGTAATTTATTCCTGTGATGTAAAGCTGAATTTCAGCATCAT